CATTTCCGGCTCCTCCCCGACTTTTGGGACACCCTGTATATATATATTGAGTAACCTCTTTCTTTTCGAAGTCGGTTAAAAATGATAGTATTTCGTTTGTATTTGATTGTACCACCAATCGTTTCGTTTGTACCTTCGTCGATTAATAATTAAAAAGAGTTCAGAAAATGGTCAACAACCGACATTGAGATTTTTGAAATCTGTTTTTTCCCTATTCTTTAGAATCGTTTGTACCCGTTTGAACTGGTTTTCGTTTCGTTTGTTTAAATTTTATAATTCAACCGTATCAACAATTGCTTGTAAAATTTTAATTACTGAGGTACAGACATAAATCTATCATTTAATTTAGACGAATTTCAAACTTCGTCGTACAGACGACGAAAAAGCTTTTGGCAACTCCCTAAGTAGAATTTAATTAATATATGATTGGGAAACCTGTACTAATTAGACATGCTATATTACGAGCACGATTGTTGCACTTGCATAACTGTTGAGAAACGAGAATGCAGGTCAAAATTAAAGTGTTTGTAGGTTGAAATTAAAATTAGAAGCTCGAAATGTCATAAAAATAACCGAGTTCGATTTTGCTCACTCGTTGTCAACACTATTTTCATAAGAATTAGGCGAGACCAGTGCTTGCACCGTTTAGAGTAGAACAGGCAACTGTTCTATATCGTTATCACGTTCTTCCCTTCGATAATGTTATCCTGAACCGTACTGTAAGGCAACGCGTTTATTGATACTGTTTTTAATTATAGTACCCTCCCCCAAGCGCTTCGATGCAGTGTATCGCGAGACATCGTTAACAGCGGTCAATTATTCGAACTTAATTCAATTGACAATCGCTTGGCGTACAATTAGCAGACTCGATGGAAATAACTCGCGAAAGTTTGCACATCGCCATGCATCGAAATAAATTGTTATCTTCTCTGATAAAGAGATCGAGACCTCTTCGTCGACATTTTGCACTCTAGAGAGTTTCTTTCTACTTGAACGAATGAGCAAGTTGGGGGAAGAAACCACATTAGAGCGTTCTTCGAGATTCTTTTCATTGTATAAAGACAAATTGAAAAAAATTTGCTTAACTTTGTGAATCTTACAAGTATATTTTAAAGTTCATTTGGTAATTTTTTAAATTTATTTCACACAGAAATATTTGAGATATCAACTATTCCAAATACACATATAGTAAGTTTTTGCCTGTGTCTGGTATAGTAGGAATTCTCGAAATCAAAATTGTTATTCCAAATCAATGAAATATATTTTTTGTTTATTTTGACGTTATTAACGTGATTTCTAAGAATATGAATCGAACTGCGGTCGAAAAAGTTTAAAATCGAATTTTTCAGGAGTGTCTAAAGGAAACGTAAATTGCAATAAAAACGTACTTATAACTATGAGAATAATAATTTGCCAGAAAATTAAAAATGAAACATAATACAAATGGTCACGTAGCACTGTAACTATCTAAAATTTATTTTAATGTCGGTATGCGTTCTCCAATCTAACTCTAGGAAACTTAACAACAAACTCAAACTTATCTATGAAATTCACCTCGGTGACGATGGCTATTGTGAGCAGGTCTGATGACAGAAACTTGTCTTGCTATCTCCCCAGACGCCTTGCGCCCGTCCAAATGCACCCAAAAGCACTCAGGGATTCGAGGAACAATCCTTTGTCATTTATCAGAAGCAACCCCGTTTGAAATTGTAAGATTTCTTTGTCTCGAGAAAACGCAACATAGTATAAATGATTCCATAAAGTTAAAGGGCTAAATTTCATAAAGTTAGAATATAATACAAACTGCTGTGTACCATTGTTAATTACGCAAAATGCAAATGCAAAGAAAATGTCGAATTTCCATGTAGCATGGATATCTAATTATTAGATTGCGGATTTTTATGCGAACTAAAATCTTTGCGAACGTACCTATACAAAAGTTTACTTTCAATATTTTTTTATATTATTGCACACTGTATGTATTTTGTAATTTCTTGCATATTCAAATTTCCTATGAATGCGTAGGAATCCGCAGTGCACTAATTGTACTATAAATTTATTGAAGGAAACTGATATTATCCTCCTGGAATAAATGAAACTTAACTAAACAAAAATACCTATTGCGCAATAATCAAGGTCCGATGAGAGAAATTCGGTTTAGTATCTTTTCAAATGTCTCGCAACCCAAAAGTGCTGTAGGATTCGAGAGACGCCCTTTTGTCAGTTTTAAAAATCAATACCCATCTGTTTCTACCAATTTGTCTCGATTAAAAGCTAGCGGGTATTATTGGGAACGAGAAAGTAATCCGGTCGATGATGGAATAGTGATAAAAAATAATCCCTTCGAATAATAACGAACGTGTATCATTGTTATTTACGTAACATGAAAATTCTAAGAGACTTTCCGTCACTATATGCTGACTATTTAATTTTACCGTCGATTTATCAGTTGAAACTAAAAGTTATCATTTAGTGATGACTGAATTATAAACTCAAGAACTGTCTACTGCGAAGTAATCAAGATTTAACGAAAGAAACTTATCCCGTTACAAATTGTCTCTAAGATTTAAAGGACACCCTTTCGGAACATTTAAAACCCAATACACCTTTCTATGAATTGTTTGTTCTACGCAAAGTTAATATCATTCAGGATAAAAAAAGAGAGATATTACGTCACCATAGGCTGCCTAATTCAACCGTTGAATTAACCATGAAAATTAAAAATTATCCTACTACTGGAATTATTGAAGTTCAACTAAACAAGGTTGTTCAACACATAAATCGAGGTCTGATGAAAGAAACACGCCTAGCTATCTTTTCAGATGCCTTACGCTCACCTAAATGCACAAAAAGCACTCAGGGTTTCAAGGAATGATATTCCGTCATTTTTCAAGAGTGATCCAACCGAGATCATTAAGATTTCTTTGCCTCGATAAAACGTAATAGACTGGACAAAAATATTCCATATATGCGAAGAAATTTTTAATCGGCATATTTTATCCATCCAACTAAACTATAGATCTGAACAGCGGGAATTAAGAATTACCTTACCGAAATGATCGAAATTTAGCCTTGCACTTGCCTAGCTACTTTTTAAATGTTTTACACCTGTTCTAATGCACGCGTAGCACTTCTAAAAGTACTGTGATACAAACTCGTTTTGTGGTTTCTCCGATTACTTTACACTCTTACAATTTCTACGTTTCAATCAAAAACAGACTAGACAAAAATGCTTACTGTGAAACAACCAAAGTCTTGTTAACACGTTCAATGAAAACTTTGTTTCTGTACAATTAGAGACTACGTATTTCATGCCAATCTCGCCGATTTCACGAACCCCTCGCGATTAATTTATTCAATTCCTCGGGGAAAAGCAATGATTTATTAGAATTAATTACAACGCTCGGACAAAAATGAATCTGGATATACGCTTATCTCTTTGTATGGATAAAAGTCAGCAAAGTCTAAACGATTTCTGTAAGAACCTTGTAAAACACGAAACGGATCAAAATGACCTAGGCTAGTGAACTGGCGTTTGGCTAGCGTTAAAGATACTCGTTTCGCGATCATACGGAATACAGAACTCGTACGGAACAGCACTCGTCGAACGGTCCCCAGAGACATTTTTCGAAAGCAACCCCGTACAATTTCTCCAACAACCCTTCGACAAATTGATCTTATTCCCCTACAATTGAAGGACATCCCCTACAACTACGAAAGAATCATGATTTGTCGAAAGAAAAATCCATCCATCTCTCCAGATGCCGCACACCCTAAGGCAGACTCTGTTACGTTCGAACGAACGGAGCGGCAACGGATGCGACACTCTAACCGAGCCTGAGGATCTCTCGGTGAGAAACAGCAAAACGTAAACGTGTATACGGACTTACCTTGACGAAATGCAGGTTCTCCTTGTCGAGGAGGAACTCCATGGATTTGTGTGGCCGTTGATTGATGGTGGAGGCGGCGCCGTCGTCTTGGGGGCTCCTGTGCGAAGCGCCGACGGGCGACTGGGGTACGTGGAGGGCGTGCTCGGGCCTTAGTCGCGGGGTGGTCGAGGTGTGATTCAGATTGAGCAGACTCCTGGTCTTCTTGCCGGCGGCGTTCGTTGAGGCGGTGGTCGTCGTCGTCGTCGTCGTCGACGGGACGGCCTCGTCGAGGTCGGTCTCGAGCAGGCCGACCGGGCGCTCCTGGGCGGCCTGCATCGCACGGGCTTTCGCCATCTCGATGGCCGCCGGATTTCCAAGGTCCGTGGCCGCGCGTCGGCGCGACGAAGACGCCGCCGCCGCCGCCGCCGCCGCTGACGGTCTCGAGCTCAGCGCCCCGACGCGGGGCGGTTGCGGAGGCAGGGGCGGCTTGCTGGACACTGGCGCCCTCCCGTTCGCGCTGTGGAAAACCAAGCGAAAATTCTCCGTCAGTTTGTTCGCATTAGAACTGAACCTGTCGCGTCGGTTGCGACGGTTATCCGTCGCTAGTCGCGGGTGCTTCTTATCTCTATCGAATTATTTTCGTGACATGACTTAAGGGGGCGGACCAACGTAAAATCACTTTCAAGGGGGTTATCCTGATATAGGAGGTCCAAAATAAACGATTTTTCGTGAATTTCTTTAGGATAGAAAAAATAATTAATTCCATCGAACTTTGTATCCTATTTTCATACATATTTGAGTAGTCTGTAGAAATTCGTTCAACAAGAAATATTCAAATTGAGTCGACTGTGACGCATATTTGTAGAGCACCTGGCAATTAAAACCTCCTATCGGCGGGAAAGATGCGGGTCGTAATTTTGGTTTGACACAAAAAAAAAAAAAAAAAAAAAAAATAAAAATAAAAATCAAAAGAAATTTTCATTCTCGTACATTTTTCTTCTGTGTGAACTGAAGAAATTCATCCAAAAGAAAAAAATTGTAAACAACTTTTTTTATCAAGTTAAAGTGATTTTTTTCACCCAAAGAACTCGTTCTTTTTTTCGAACTTGCGGTAAGTTCACGTTTCACCATTTTTGCGGGTTTTTCTCAGTTGAAATCGAAAATTTGAGGAATATTGGAAAGTAGTAAAGAGTGAAAAGGAAAAGGAATAAAAAGACATAAAGGGCAACGCGCGTTATCGGCACGTAACACTTTCCCGACAAGTTTCGTTTGCCCCTGGTGGCTTTGAACTTCACCGAGCCGTGCACAGATCCTCCATAGGTCGTTCTCGCACCATGGCGAATTCGTAGCAGCGGCTTTCACGCGATCCGATCATCAATCACGCAGCACCCCGTTACATGCAGAAGAAAACGCGGAAACAGGACGCGCGGTTGCAACTTATGCTTGCCTCCTAAACGCTTGATTGTCTCGCAAACCGGCATGCAAAAATAATGGCGGACCACTATCCGAACACGAGCGCGTTATTTAAACAACGCGTACCGTTTCAGAGACTTCAGCCACCGTTCAAGAAAATCTTTGAAGATTGCACGTTTCAGCGCCAATGCTTTCGTCGAATGTACGTTGAATGCCAGCATTGCGAATAAAGTGATTGGACGAACGTTTCGTAACCCTTAATTGCGACCAGAGGTGAGCAAAGTTTTACTCTATTGGAATCATAGATGTGAAAATTGTAATGTAAAAGTAACGGATTACGCATTACCAAAAAATGGGTAAAGGCCGAGTGGCTAATTATAAATTAAAAAAAGTAATGGGTAATAGATAACCGTCCCATTAATTTTGTAACGTGTAATGGAACGGTCACCCATTACCCATTTTTTTTTGTGATCGGCTATTTTTCTAATCAAATATGCATTACAAAATTATTGCAATATGTACAATTCTGATTAACGGACGTGTAATATAGGTTACAATTTTTTTTCTTTTTTTTTTTTTAATAATTCATATGTGACGTAATGTAAGCGAAAGGTCTTACTTACGTAACAAATTACACGAAATAAATTATCTATCTATCCGTCTATAACTCTGATTTGAACGCGAAAAAGAAAATGAAATCGTTTCATTAAGGGATGGACAACAACCGACCAACTTTTATTTACTCAGCCACAAATTTGATCAATTTTTAGGCAATTAAACGTGAAAGATGATGTCGTTTAAATGTCCACCAGGACAAACAAAAATGCTAAAACATTATTTGGAAAACGTATTTGTCAGTCTCAACGCCTAACATTGACATTTATTATTTTACACTCACAGCCTCCACACGTTCCTTTATCTATGGCAGGGCTTACTATCTAGGGCCTAGATTCTAGGCTAACAGACGAGTTCACTAGCAGGCCTAGGACAAAACACGCGCACTTTCTCCGCTTTACAGACTGCGATAGATGCATCTAACACGTAAGTTCTAACGCCGCAGCGAATGAGATAATATCAATCCGTTTAGCTTCTTCCTGTACCACTTGCTTGCCCCTATTCCCAGCCATAAGACATTACCCGATCAAATTGCGTGACTCACGTCGAATGGTAGCTCGGTTGCGCCCGCGCTTCGCGGAGGTCACTTTCCTGAGAAAGAATTGACGGTTGCATTTTTACAGACGGAAGATTCAGACGTTTAAGTGCGCACTTAAGCCTTCGGATGAACGCCTGCGGTTGGTCGTTTCGTCGTGCGGAATAGAGTGGGTGCTTCGAGTCAGACGGATCCGAATCGAACGATCGCCTCAATTACACTCAATCGCTGTCCTCTATCTTTTTTCTTTTGCCTTCTGTCCGCCAAGAAAAAATCAAATCATCACGTCGTTACGCGGTACGCATATATGTGCCGTGTTGGTCAATTTTATAGAGAAGCAAGCGATCCAAGAAAGGAAGGGAAAACGTAACGTTAAAAGAGGGGACGTCTTCGACTTTTCAGAGAATAAATAACATGCTCTACAAGATGCGAGAGGTTTGGTCGAGCCATCTCGGCGTAATCGGTGAACATACCTTTAAAAAAAAAAAAAAAAAAAAAAAAAAAAGGACGTCGAATTGAGTAACCTCCTCCTTTTCGAAATCGGTTAAAAAGTAAATTAAATTTCTAATCGAATGAGTTCAGATAAACGTAGCAAAAAGATTATTCAAATAAACCTAATTAAGATATTAACCCTTTGCGGTCGTATTAAATTTGCAAAGGTAGTTGGGGGTGCACAACATAGATTTCAAAAGTCATTGAAATAAAGATGTAAATATACAGATTCGTTGTAATGAAAATTGGGTCGAGACTTGAAACCATAGAATATCGATAATTTAATCCAACAAAATGTCAAATAAATATTTTCACTCAAACTATAGTTACAAACGATTGAGCGCAAATGCACAGAATACATTTCTGCATTTCCTAATATGTTCTTTTTACTGTTCGCTATGGGTTCGATTACTGCATGTATCATCTCCAACGGAGTCGTTGATCGTCAAGAGAGTCAAAAGGAGAATTATATTTCTGCTTCGCGCGATGCTACGAACTCGAGGTATGCGAGCATGAACGAGCCTATGGTTAAATATATACCTCTACGCTTGTAGGTGTACCAGCCTCGGAAGCCTTATTAATCTTATTTCATTCCAGTACAAGTCCGGAAGTCGTTCGAGGTGGTCCGAAGCGTACAGCTAGTCAGTCGTAGAATTTCTCGCGCGACTTTTTGCTTCTCTGCTGTTCGTTATATAAAGAGATCGACAGAGTTCTGCCTCATTCGTCTATGTTTCCTCTGGTCAGGCTTTTTCTGTTTGTTGCCGTACGATCAAGATCACACGCCTAAGATCACATCAAATGACCTCTCTATACATTATACAGTGCTATGCTGCCCCCAGGGGATGTACCATGCAAATATGCAGCTACAGTACGAGCTTAGCGACTCTGGACTCCAGAGTCTGGAGTACCGTAACTAGATGGGGGCCAGGGGTCCCCAACAGACGTGTACAAAAGACAAGACTAACGTAAATGTAACGTGCAGAGTTACGATAACGCGAACTGAGCCAAAATTAAGGAGTTACGTAAGGCAAAGTAATGTCAAGAAGTTCTCTCTCGCGATATCGCCGATGGTAATTATTAGACTGCGGATCTTTGAGGAAAATAAAATCTTCGCGAACGTGGTTACAAAAATTGAACCTAAATAGGAATTGATTTTATTCTGCAAATGTTATAACATGAACTTTACTTTCAATCTTTTTTATTGGGTTGTCCGAAAAGTCCATGTCGATTTTTGGTAGGTGGTACAGGTCTGAATATATCGAAGTGGTTGAAAACGAATAACATGCATACATCCCTTAAAAAGTGGAAAGGTCTTGTGGAACAAAATGGCACCTATGTAATTCAATAAATATATATTAAAATTCAAACGTGTTTTTGAATGTTTCTTAGAAATTCGCACGAATTTTCTGGACAACCTAATATATTCTTGCATATTGTTTGCATTTTGTAGGTTCTTGCGCGTTCAAATTTCTTATAAATGCACAAAGATCCGCTGTCTAGTAATTATTTTTGGGGCAAGTGTCGCCTTTGTTGAAAATGTATTCCGATCCAGATCAGTAAACTCATCGATGCCTGGTTTTGACTTTATCTTTAACAGTGTTCAAACCAGAACACCTCTTTAAGTAAACCTATGTTAATAAAAGAAATACGATGTATATTTGTTATTGCGACTTGTGGCTGTTATTATGTATAGCTTCAAGCTTTTTGTATATATTTAACGATGCATAATTTGAACGTTGCACAAATTATAACGTCACCGTGTTTTTGTCGTTAGTATCGCAGATGCAGCGACACGTCGCAATGACTTAACAGCCCGATAAAATCCAGCGTTGAAGTCACACCTCTAAATATATACGATTCGTGGCCGCGACGTTTCAGATGAGAACGAAAGGGGAACCGTCGACAAGTATTATTACTGGAACGCGGCCCATTTTCCGCTACTTTCTGCCGCCATGTTCGTTCGGATCGTACCCTAGTCCAGGACAGAGATGGGCGTAATTTTATTCGAATAACGATTACACGTATTCAGATACTTGATGTACTATTTGCAAAGACAAGGTACGCACAAAAGTATACACAATCAGCTCGAACCAGATATTTTCGTAATGTTTAGTGTAGGTATTTCGTTTAATCTCTTATTCGTTCGGTTAGAAACACAATTTTGATTGTATCCAGTTCGACAGATTTTTTTTTTTATCTTAACAACCACAAGATATCGGCATCGACAAGAGCTATTTTAACGTTAATATGAATCATTAAACAAAATTATATCAAGTTTATACGAAAATATTCGTACACTCTTCCTGAATAATGTTATTGATATAAAATACATTGGAATAGTTCTTTATTTTACAGACCTCGAGAAGAAATTTCGAAATCATGTTATGATCGTCACACCGAAACGACCGCGTAAGAGAAAACCACATTACGAGTGTTTCATCGATATTTATTTTTCTCAGAAAACATGTCGATAATGTAAAATAAAAATTGCATTGATTTCAGACAACAACTGTGATCTCCAGAATTTCCACCAATAACAAAGCTAATAACTCAAAGATTTTTCTGTGAAATGAATTGAAAAAATGACCCAATGTAGTTTGAAACATCCCCAAAATATTCTCAAAGTTAAACGAAAATTAAATACATATTTTTCTGTAAAAGCAATACGCAGAAAAATGTCGGAAATTCTTCTAGTGTAATTTCCCCCCCCCCCCGAGGGGAGGGAGGGGGATAGGGAGAGGAACAGATCGAAAGTTGTTTATGTATTGCATTTTTTATTCGAATATGTATCTAAATAACAGTTTTGTATCATCTTTGTGTCAGAACGGCAAAGGTCGCGAAGAATGCAACGGATTCTTGAATTACAACGTTCCGCAGCAGCTTGTGATGATTCATCGGGGCCCCACACGCACGCCCTACGTCTCGTGGATGTAAACAGCCGTGGGATATCGGTCTCGTTATGTTCAGCGCTTTGTTAAATAAACGAAGAATCGCGAGACTCGAATTATTCGCGGTTCGAGGGAGATAAACGGACGTTGAACCCTCGCAACTAATTTCCAATAGAACACGCGATGTAGAGTACGTTTAAATTTTGTCGAACAATTCAAAATAAATATCGTCGGTATTGTTATTGTTATTACGTAAGAATGTTAATCGATTAGTAATAATTTGGCCTTTTTCAATTAATTTTTTTAATTTCTACACGGAGTTATATGTAATAGTGTTCGTTCGATATTCAGGCCTTCGCGAATAAAATATTTATTTTGACTGGAAAACTGTTATTATAATAATTGTTTAAGAGAAATCGAGAGACACAAGAGTAAGGTGAATATAGAATAGAAAAGAAATGAAATGGATTCATGTATTCCTCGTATTCCTTTTAGGAATAAATGTAAAATAGATATAGAAGAATTATTTGAATAATACTTGTGTATTGTTGTTTTTACAATTTATTCGTCAAGTGTTAAAATTATTTTTAAACGAGTATTTGAAACAATCGTGACTCTAATAAGTTACATCATTTGTTACTGGTTTGGAATTTCGAAATAAAAAATAAAAATATATAAATACATTTTTTTCTGAATTTATATCTTTGCTTAAATTTATAATATAGTTTTAATTAATTTATATTATCAGACACTGTAATTGTATTCATGTTTAAGATTGTCGAGAATACGATTTTCTTTAATTTTTTCAAGTTTTTCATGTTCATTTATTTGTTGAGTGTGCATAGCTCACAATTGGCTGTAACATCTTCCTTTTCGATATCTATTTTATAAATAAACCAAATCATTGAAAATATCCAATATTTTGCCATGTATACCCTACGTTCTTTTTCATACGATTTCTTTTTTTATACAACACGATCTGGAACGCAAGCTCTGATTAAAAAAAGAGAACAAGAATTAGATGTACCCTTTTCATTTCTTGTCACACACAGAAGCATTGTTCCATAGCAGTTTTACTTTCCCAGACGAGCTCGAAAATGGACCATTTTCAACCATTGTCTACCATCTACCGTCTAGCGTCCACCGTACCGTCATCATTATAACGGTCGCGGTCGAGTACGAGTCGAAGCAACGCGCAAGAAAAGACCGACGACTCGACGAGGTACAAGCCGCGCTGATTCGACGGAATTCCGCGCGATAAAACAGATGTTTGTAAAAACCAAACGAGAGAGGATCAGATACGCCACACGTTCCGAGAAACGAGTTCGATCGCGAGATTAACGAAGCTTGCAATAAAAACACAGCTGCTCGGAGATTGGCAGGCCGTTCCCCAAGTGGGGCTCTTTGGTACTTTAAGCCGAAAATTATGGCTTCTCTACAAATCCAATATTTTCCGCGGCAAACAATCTTCACGTAGCTTCTGTAATGTAATTTATCAAGAGATTTTTCATTAAACTGAATAACTAAGCCAAACTTGGAGCCTTCTTGTCGTTTCTTTTTTTTTTTTTTTTGCATGCAGGTGTATATCTGAATTGAAACGGAAATTATTAGACACGTATCTTTCTTTGATATAGTTCAACAAGAAATTTCTTAGGTTTTTCCAGTCATATTTTGTACAAAGATAAATGTTAGACATGTAGCTTTCTTCAATGTAGTCTACCCTGAAATTTCGTGCTTTATTAAGCAACCGCTCAGTTGTTGCTTTTTATCGATCCAAAGCGCAACACAAAAAGAATAAAAAAAAAAAAAAAAAGAATTGCGAATATTAAACAAGATAAAGATGTGCACTAGTAATTAATTGTTTGAATGAACAAACGAATATTTAAACAAACTATTTTTTCTATCTCCGTGCTAGGCAAACTTTTCGCTTCCCTAAAATCTCGTCTATCGTTGGTGCAAAGATAAACAACACCGGCGCAAGCGAACCACTTGTGACGGTCGAATTAAAAGGAAATGAATCGTTAACGAGCAAGGGTCGTGACGTAGATTAAGATTAATTGGTAGAAAAGTCAAACTGAAACTGACGGGCCGCGATAGTCCAAAGAAAGATGTTTAAAAAGAGGACACGACGCGACCGACGTCCAGCTGTGGAGTCCGGACGATTTTCAAGCAAACGATAGGGAAATGGCGTACGGCGAGGGGGGAAGGAGGGCACGATAAAGGTTAAACGGTCGACGTTCGGCGTTACGGAATACAATTAGGTCGAATTACGTGAGAATGACATGGGAACGAGGGCGAAAGTGAAATTTCATTAAGAGTATCGAACTGAGGAAACTTTCTTTTTCGTTGACGAAATTAATTCTTTGCTACATTTTTTTTTTTTTTTTTTTTTCGTTAATTTGTTCTTTGCCAAGTCTAGATTAACTGTTCGAGTTTTAATACTTTAACTAGTTTCCTATTTAGAAAAAGTTTAAAACGTAGAGGAGGACTTTTTACATTGATATGTATTAATATAGACTACGGTTAACTTGTGCATACTATCGAAGGGTATTTTGAAAGATCTGTCGCCCAAAATTAAGCAGTGTATTGTAAATAGACTACCAACGACACGATTAATAAATTCCAGGGTATTTATTAGCGGCTGTACTACTGATAATAATATAAGTACATATACATTTAGATGTGCAATAAAGTTTTCTATTCCCCGATATTTTTTTTAGTAAAAAAAAAAAAACACACACACACACACACACATGTAGATCAGTCTAATTTAAGTTACTTTGATTATAAATAATGTATCAAACGTATTACAGGAAGAAAGAAAATATTTGAAATAGATATTTCGAATTTTCGCTCGCAATCAAAATTTCTCTGATCTGACACGTCATTTTTTATTTTTAAGAATGATTGTTTTTCAGAATTGGAATGTTACAGAGGCTTATCGATCTTATCGTGTTATGCTTCAGCAAATATTCGTAAATTGCGTTGTTACCGATACAATATCGCAAATTTATCGTTATTCGCAATATTTTTATTCGTAATCTTTGCATTTGCTTTACGTTCTTTAACGTGTTACATATTACACTACAAGATTATTGAATACATAAGTTGTACATATGTATATAATTTCGCTAAAAATCGTTGAAGCTTTATTTTTAAATATTATCAATCAATTATGAAATAGAGGGAACATATAAAACAGTTATCTTTACTTGCAACGTATATCCATGATACAAATATGTTAGAAATAAGTAAACATTATCAAATCAAGCTAGAATTAAATTAAACATTAACAAAGTTACGATAAAAAGTGTTTTATATGTTCGCCTCTATTTGATCAGCTAAAAACAAATTCAAATAAAACCTCGCTTTTTTCGCGATCCTTTAAAGACGATACGGACTGTTTACCGTTCACTGTTTAAACCGATATTTAATTCAGGCCTTGTTACGATTCGACTTTATCCATTGTGGATCCCGGGCCAAGGTATTTGACCTTAAGGTAGAACTAGGTGAGAATCCGACCCGCGGAATGGATCCGTCGAGGCGAGGATCGGTAAGAACGCGAACGAGAGTGAAATCCCATCGATTGGATGAGCGCGAAGCCTGATTAGAGTTGGAATTAGACGCGGGATGCGAAGCATTCGGAGGGGAAAACGACCGTTACGGGGGCACACACGGAATCTGTACTATAGATTTGTGAGGCGTTCAACGTGGGACGCGGATGAAAGCAGAATTAAGAAGCTGAATAAAATCGAATGGATGATGAGAGGAGTGGGTGTAAGCGCGGGACTGGCAGCTGTTCCTCGACTTCGTCCGCCATTACGAAAGCCACGGTATCACTGACCTCGTTGCTACCACTCGCGCAAGAGAAACATGCCTCGAAACAGATTCACGGACATCTAGAAAGGTTGTTTACGTATCCGAGATATACCAGTCAATGTACTCCGACGAAGAAACAGCAATGATATTTAACCTTTAGCACTATGAATGCATGTTATTTATAGCGGTGCGTTGTCGTATAACTTGACTCTAACACCTAATGTAACAATCTTATATTTGCGTCTTTTTCATATTCGTTTGATTCTTGCGTAAAATTACGTTATATTGCGTTTGCTTCGTAATTCTCCAATTAGGGATGCTAGTCCTTAAATTGGGACCCACTGTCCTCCCTATAGCTCGGGTACCTCAGTATTGCTAAACCCGTACTGTAGCTACGATAAAAGATGTCTACAGCCCTTGAGAGCTTGGCACTATGGGGTTCTCTCTGAGGAGACGTTATAAATCTAACAAACTTTGCCTGTGATCACTGGACCGCGGAATTTTATGCATTCATGACCTACAGTAATATAGACAACATACAGAAAAACATGTACAATGTATGTGGGGAATACATTATACAATTAATATAATAATATTGTTATTTTATTTTGCACATACCTCGTGCACATTTGTTATTTTACTTGACCGCACGTACCTTTTGTTTATGTTTAGCAGGTATTTGTTACAGTAGCTTATATCATGAATACATGAAATGAAATAAATTCCTACCATTAATTTTGATTCTCGATTCCTGAGAATTATAGTAATATACAATCTGAAATGCAGTTATATAAACAGTAACTGTGGTAATGTACGATCTAAAATTATTCAGTAGGTATATTAAGATTCTTAATCGGTTCCAATGAAATAAATCAACATAAACAATCGGACCAAACTCGTTAAACGAAACGAAAACTTCATTCCCGATCACGCTCATACATATTTCAAACGGACGTACGATGAATGTTAACGCTCCGACTGAACAATCGGTAATATTCATCGCGAACTAGTCACCGGTTTCTAGGCTCGAAACAGATACAATCTCGAGACAGTGCACAAATATTGTTCCATCGTCGAGTCTCGTGTGGACGCTCCAGATAAAACCGAGTGAAACTATCCTCGGTAAATGAAAATTTTAACGACCCATTTTTGCGGGTCGCCGGAAGACAAATGTTTACACCGAAGCCATGGAAGCAACGTGAACCGTGATTCACGGTGGCTCCGTATACCTGCGCGAAACCGTGTAAACATATGTTGGGGTCAAAGTCAGCGGCTGTCGATGCGTAATGCGACGTAAACAAAAGGACGAACGTTCGAGAACGTTACGTGTCGATGTACCAATGATGGCTACGATTGTACTCGAATAATAGCCGAAGACCAAACCAATACCGTTAACACTGCAAGCATTTAGATGACGTTTTGTCTACACGTACAGTTAACGTACAGTTGGAAATGAAAATAAAAGAAATATCTGTGGAAACTAAAATTAAAATGATAAAACATAGCTTTATGTGTTTTTTGTTATTTCCACATTGGACTGATACTGTTTGTTTTTCATTTACAATTTACCATTATTTTACGTTGCAATCGATGAAATTAACGCTCTAATTATCGCTCTATTTAGAAAGAATTTACAATTTAGATCAGGATTTTCTACATTGGTATATTATATGTATTCAATTACTGACGCAATAAGTTAAACATGTTACGGCGGATAAAACCATAAAAATAAAAGAAACGAAAAGGTAATTGATCCGACGTGAAAACGGGAATGGTTACGTAGCTTTCAACATGTGTACAGTTACACAATGTTCTGATTACACGACAAGGTGACCTTGAATCTTAGTTTACTTATCAATTAAACTAGTTGTACTATTTTTAGCAGTATGACATTATGTTATAAAACTTGTGGTCTGCGTGCAGCTATGGATAAACTAAGTACCTACGAATCGTACATCTTTTCTAAGGAGGGTCCAAAAATAAGAGATCAAAATATTTTTAAACAAATAATTATCAACTGCGTTTTATCAACGTAACTTATTTGAATAAACATTTTTATCGAGATAAGAATTTCGTCCATCTCTGAAAATGAGACATATCTGTGTAGTATACAAGCTCTACATTAACGCTGTTTACATGTTGCAACATGTATCCGACACACGTAAACAGTTTTACTGATCTCCATGATCCGCTATGCCTACAATTCAACAGTCCTAGTTTAGCGTCCGACAAATACTAAACACAAACACATGGTTTTGTCTCCCTATTAATTTAGGCAATAGAATTTCTAGATTCTCTTTTGTCTTTTATTTTAGTTAGAATATCGTAAAAAATACCAGTGCTACTAAACTATAATATTTTAGTAAAAATATGCTTTAACTGTTTGCGCTCGGGTGGGGCCCCTAGGGCGACATATGTAATTTAAAAGTGATTTTGTAAACGTACAATTTCGAATTCACTTGCGTCAGAATACAACTAACTATTAATTGAAATAATAATACATCGAGTCGTGAATGTTTTTAGATGTTTTTCTTCCAAGTAGAGTTTTCGGTTTCACAGAAATTTAATTTAAAAATGGACTAGATTTGGTTAAACTGTAAAATTAGTCTTTAAGGACGTATTTATATGTAACCATAACCCTGATTTGTTACACAAAGAATTGGAATATCGAGCTATCGAAAATAGATCCAACTACGTGTGCTGCTTAAGCATAGGAAGAATTACTTTGACGAGACACGTAAATCGCCCCGGACTTTAAAAATTGCAAACCGGATGGTCAGTTCATTTTGGGGTTATATTTATCTCGCCTCAGACTGTAATCTGTTTAGGATTAATAAGATAAAACGGCTATCGCGTTGCACAATTCATTCTTCTCGTACGCAAGCAGTATATGACCTCTTAGCTCTTTCATGCATTAAGCTGTTCCTCTAATTGAATGTTATGGTAAGCACCTGGTATCGCGAACTAGCGTAATGAAAACAGACTATGACTCATATCTCAGCTTTTTATTCGCATTTTCGAATAACCGAAGAGGTAAATCACCCTTAAAACATGTATTTATAGTTATACCTAACCAGAGGCCTGATTTAACCAAACGTAATCGTTCATTGTGAAAAAACTTACAAGCATCGAGATGCTTTTGATCTTCCTTTGGGCCATATAGCCTCCTTAACACTAGAACTACCAAGTCGGTCAATTTCACCCATACATTTGAAAATTTTCTTTAATAATAACTCACGCGTAAACGATGCTTTTATCGCAATATCAGCCGACAGTTATTGCAACAGAGCAGACATAAAATTTATCTACCACGCTCCTCTCTAATTTTAAAGATAGAAATGACACCAAACGACCGTCGTTAGTTGTAGCGTTAACATATACAAACATCGGTCTAGCGAGCTCCATGCATTCCACGGTACCAAAAATAACAAAAATAGCTACTCACCTAACGTTGGAGGAGCTCCGTTGAACGTCCCCGGGTGTCCTCCTGTCCGTCTTCGCGTCCACGGCGACGTCGTACTCGTCCTTGCGCTTCTCATCTTCCGGGGCATGCAACGGAATGATGATGTAATCCGGCTCCTTTTTAGTCTGTTGCTCGTTCACCTTGCCGCGATTCACTTGGCCAAGCGTATCACTCTTTTTCTGCACCTCGGACCGCGGCACTTTCGATCTACCACTGAACCGTAGCCTCGAGAATCTCTGGAGGAATCCACCGAGACCACCCTTCTTCCTTTCTTCCTTGACCGGGGTCGGAGGGATCGGGTCTACGGCCATCCCCCTCTGAATCCTGGCCGCGGACGGGTCCTTCGGTGGTGACGGCGTAACGAAGGACCGTTTCGTCGTCGTCGTCGTCGTCGTCGTCGTCGTCGCCGACATCGTCGCGTCTTCTACCCTAACTGTGATCGTTGTTGCCGCCGCGTTCTCCTCGTGACGTTTGTCGCGATCACCGCGATGATTCGTATCAACTACCACGGCCACCGCTGGATTCCCACTCCGTTCACTGGGTTCCAGGCCGTGGGTAACGCTGGGTGGGGGGACACGAACACCGTGGACAGTGTGTCCCCTCGCTGCTTCCGTTGCCTTCTCCTCCGCCGGCTTTTGCTGCTCTTTCTCGCTCTCTTTCTTCTCCTCCGTCTCCGCTGCCGCCTCCGCTTCGGCAACCTTCTCCGCGGAAGCCTCTTTCTCCACGGCCGGCTTCTCCACTATGACCCTCCACAGCCGTTCCCCGGCCGCGGCGTTCCTGTTGCACATCGACGACGAACCATCGTCGACGACGTCCTCCATCCGAGCCTGATGCTCCTCCAGGCGTCGAAGAACCGCGGCGTTGTTCTCCGCGTAACGGTCACCGATTTTCATCGGGTCAACGCCGCGATCGTAGGTCGCGGGATGCTCGACAACGTTCGTGGTTCTGTTCGCGTGCACGAGTTCTAGGGATTTTTCCTGGGTTCCGCGGGCGCTGTTCGCGCCCCCCTCCAGGCTGGAAGAAGCTCCTATGGGTTTGGTTTCCAAGCAGGGGTAATCTATCTCGTCGGCTACTACGGGACGGGCATTAGGATCGTCTCCATAGATTGAAAATGGATCCGAGTTTTTTTTTACCTGAGAAAGAAGGGACTCCTCCTCCTCCTCCTCCTCCTGTTTCTTCAGCCGTTGGCCCAACTGTTCGATCGGTACCCTGGTGAACGGGCCCGTCGAGAACTGCGAAAATATGTCCTCCGTGGACTTGGAGTACTTCCTGGTGTCCAGACGGTGCTCGTTGGAAGGGCTGCTGAGGTTTGACGTGGAGCTACTGCTCATCTGTTGCACCATGTCGGTGACTCTGAGCCGCGAGGATCGGCCGAACCCCGATTCCTCGAGCTCGTCGCACGCGTCCATTCGCTGGAAGGCACCTCTGGAGGACTGGAGAGCCTTTATATAATCGCACTGTTGGGCTAGCTCGTAGCTAGCGTTGTTCAACACTCGCTTCCGTCCGCTGAAAGCAGTTTTCGGCGACTTGGGTGTCTGTTCGTTGGAGATTTCTTTGGAGATCTCTTTACGGAACCTATTGGGTCGAAAACTTCTCTCGTCGATCTCGTACTGCTGGGCCAGCTCGTAGCTGGCGTTGTTCTTCACCCTGTGCGGTCTCTGCTTGCCCGAGAACGTTCTTTGAACGTCCATCGCGTATCTGCCGTTCGATACGGTGGCTTCTTCGACCTCGCGTTTGAGTTGTTTGATAGCCTCGTCCACCATGTCGTTCTCCATGGCGATGGCCATGTCCAGCACGCAGTTCCCGCGATCCTGGGTCTTCACCGTCGACGTGACCTGCTTCTTCTCCCGTGGCTTCGGGCAACGATCGCCAGCCGCGCACTCCTCGTTCCTCGCGATCTCCTCGATCGACTCGCGATCCATCTTGCTGTCCATAACGCACTGCGACGGTTGGGTTCTCACCGAGCTCGTCAAAGAGCTCTTCGACTGTCCCGTCGCGTCTTCGCCGTTCCGTTGGCTCTCCTCGCGGCTGTTCGTTCGTTTCTTCTCGTGTACGTTCGCGATCTCCGCCATTTCGTGATCGTGGTGGCTCACGCGTTGGTAACACGGCTCATCGTACGTCGCGGAGAAGCCGCAGAGATTCAGATCGACCGGCACGCTAGCTACCCTCGTGTAATTCTCGAAGAGGTTCGACGTGGAGACGAAGGAGGTTGCCCTTGATGAACCGTTGCCCGTCAACGAGCGTGGATCGTGTGCGGACTCGTCGATGCTGCTAGGCAGACTGGGCGCGCTTTGAGATTTATCCGTGAATCTAAAATTAAAGCACTCGTCGTTGCTCCACCCTTGACTGTGCTGCCGCGGCTCGTGGTGCTCGTAGCTGTGCTGATGTTCATGATTATGCTCGTACTGATGCTGGTGCTGGTGCTGCTGTTGATGATTATGGTGATGAGAACCAGGGTAATGATAATGATGATGATGAAGATGATCGGCAACCATGTTGTTGCGAGTGTGCGCCATGCTACCAGCTATATTTAACCTGGTCTGCAGCAGACGAAAGGAACTCGACACAGCCGCCTGGCCAGACTTCAGATCCAACAGGGCGTCCCTCTTCGTCTCGACGCCGATCTCCCGCAAATCGATCGTGTTCCTGTAGTCCACCGACGTCGCGTAGTTGCACGCTGGGTCGCCGAAGACCATCAATCGATCCTCGATCTCGGAGCACGCGCGATTGTCCTTCAGCAAGCGGTCCTCCTCGTCGAGGTCTTCCTCCTCCTCGTCATCCTCGTATTCTTCGTCGTCGTGCCAAAAGTCCCTGATTCGAGCGATAGAAAAATCGTCGAGATAGAGTAATGCAGGGCTGTACAGAGGAGACTTTGAAGGAGAAGACTATGCGAACATATTTGGAAAAATAGCTGCTAGCAGTTGTACGACCATTTCTGCAATACTTTAGAGGCTAGAGGCTGTCTTGAAATATTTAATTAAGAATACACCTATACTCTGGAAAATCGATTGCTCAAAATACCGTTTGAATCAAATTCATGACTCTTCGTATGAAAAACTGTATGAATCGACAAAATAAAATACAGACAATTTAGTAAATTATTTACTTACGTTAATTTACTACAAAGTAAAATATAAATAAAACGTAGAGAAAATTCGTTAATTTATTCATGAAATAACAAATCAGTTCGCTCATCACGTAACAGAGTTCTATTTTATCATTTCAATATTGATTTCTGGAGATATGATTTTTCTTGCTGATTTTTGTTCGACGTGGTTGAACCTTCAACACTTGAATCGAATTAAAAAAATGCTTTGTAGACCATACGTATTCAATTATTATCATGTAAAAAATAGTGAACCGTATAAAATCGGACAATCGCGAGATGTCTGCAAGGGTAATTTCGGATCTCCTTAAAATTAAAAGTAAAAGTCAAGGAGGTCCATTCAGGGTCGCGATTGCGATAGCTTGGCCAAAAGACGAGGGTCATGTAGCAAACTTTAATTCTGAGAGTCGTTGCCAAGGAAACTTGAAGATCTCTGTTTGAATATCGTGAAATGTCACTTGTCTGCTGTGTAATGTTAAAACAAGGAAGAAATTAAACTATATGAGATCATGGTAAACAAATTCGATAAATAGTTTGGTTAACCTCTTAATGTTCTAGCTGAAGAAGTGGTTACATCATGCAAATCTACGGTTGTGCAACTGGTGGGCCAGTAGGACCAATTCCGACCGCGTCTCATATTTACAGATATTTCAACAATTTACACAAAAATAATAAGTTAAATATAAAATAGTTTGTTTACTGCTATAATCGGTTTATAATTCTGGGGTATCAAGTTTTGGTAGATAAGACTGCGTTTCCTCTTATTTTTTCGACACTTAATTCCATCATGTTCTCATTAGAAACATTTATAGAAACAGGAATTGCTTATGGCACTTGTGTTCAGTTGCACAACGAAAATGGTCTTGTCCCATAAGTTCCCGGACACTTGCTACCAATAAATCATTTTATAATAACATTATAATCATACAATAATTATTCTTCAAAATAAATGTCATCGCTTCCGATCGTTTTCATCCATCTTTCCGTCAACTGTTCAATTCCAATTTGGATCAAATGTCATAAAGAATTTTAATGTCAAAAATTCAAGCATCGAGTGTCCGGGAACTTATGGGACAACCTAGTACCTCGATTGGAAACAAATAATGAAAGTTTCCTCGAGACCGTTAAAAAAGAAGTGCTTTGCTTAAATGAAAATTTAACCGACATCGACAATAAATCCCTGTACGTTGATTCTAGCCAAAATCTATCGGTCCAATGAAATTTTCCCATCTCCGATATTGAGTTTGGTGGGTGGTGAACGACGAATGAGAAACACTGGTCTATCGCGTCTGCCAAAGATCACAAGCGACAGCTGCCGCGCAGCAGCGATAAATTCGCACGAAACTGTGCAGACGGAACACGGAATCGCTACAATGAAAGCATTACGGTAAATAGACCAATTACCTTGGACGATGCCCGTTGTTTCGTATCCTCGAGAGATCCGAGTTACGTTTCAGGTACAAAGGTGCGAAACCGTTGGTGAGCCCGGCGTGCCCGTAGTCGTCATCCTTCTGACACGTGTCCAGGCTCTCGAAGCTGCGGTAAGGCCTGATCCTCGGAAAGTGATCGGTGTTCCCGAAACCATTTGGCAGAACTCTGTCGTAGTCCTGCTCGAGACTGTCGGGTGACGTGTTCTCTGGATGGGAAGCGTTGGATCGATTCGAGTACTCCAGCGAGTCGAAGCTGTAGCTGGAGGGCGATAGTGTGGCGCAGGTCCTCTCCAACGATTCGAACTGCAGCAGAGAGCTGGATCTCGATGACGCGGACGATCTCGAGGATCTGGGCGAGGCTGGATAATCCTCGAAGGTCACTTGGTGGTCCCGGTCGCTGGTACCATTGTTCCTGCGCCGTCTCTTTTTCGGAACCACGGAATTGCACTCGCTACCACTCCCGCCGTCTAGTCTTTCATCTAATAAACAAACGCACAAACAATAACCGTTACCAGAGTTATTTGTAAACCAACGATTTTATGCGTTCTGTTCAGTTCGATTCAGTCCTTCTATTCGTACCCTCTATTCAGGACGTTTATCTAAATTAAATGATAGACCAGGTGTTTCTAAATAAATGTTTCGAAAAATTTGACAACATCAAACCTATCATTTAATTGAGACTAATTTGTGTGAACTTATGGGATGACTTAATACGTACAATTACGAAGTCATTGTATATAATTTTATATGAATATGTTATCTGTGTTGTATATGTTATATACATGTGTTATACGTGTATATGTTACATGTATTAAATGATATATTATCATTTTATATAAAATTAAATGAAATCTCTTAACGAAAAAACCTGTACAGGTTGATTTTTAACGTTACAAGGAGAAAATTAATCCTCTATGGTCCAATTTTTTTTTTTCCGCAGACAACTTGCAAAGCGTTAACTTCGACACTTCAAGTTTATTGTGCTGCTAACCGTCGCCAATATTGTCATTGGTTATCAGAGACATTATATAATTAAGACGTATATATCATGTTGTGAAAAGAAAATTAAAATTATTCGGTTAAGTCTGGATATAGTAGAGGGCTACAGATAACGTGGAGTGGATATCGAATAAAAAAAGAAAAGAAAAGAAAAGAAGTAGAGTGGAATGGGAATTAAGAGCATTAACGAGGCAAATAGATGATAGTTTCGTGATCGATAGGGTCACGCTGAAACGTGTCATTCCGATTCAGAGGCGTTATCGCGACTCGTGTCGTCGATCACGTGTCACACTACACACGACGGTCACGAAGCCGGCAACCGGTGACCGCATAACGCCGTAAGCGTCGCTTCCGGTTGAATGAACCGTGGCTTCCTGACAATCCACGAGGCGGGAGACGCGTAAAACTGGTAGCGAGTAGCGGGTGTACGAACACGAGTATTGGCCGGCCCCTCTGTCGAAGACCCACTTCCCGTGCCTCGACTTAACAAACTGGGCCACGAACGCAACGGGCCAATTCCTCGAACAACGTGGCTTTTCACTAACTTTTCTAACGCAACGACGAGCTGCGGCCCCGCAGCCTGCGGATCGAGGCATCCGGGGACCAGAGACATTGCACTTGGCAAACTTTTATTCGCTGACTGCTTCACGTAACCGGCTTATAACTCGAGGCGTTTCGTACGCGATAATGCAGAGTTTACAAGAAATAACTGACCAAACTTTGAAAAGACTTATCATTTTGCTTATCCCAAGGATGAATAATGGTCGTAAGGTCATACGAATGAAAACATGTTTTTTTGGAAGTCGAAACGAGACGTTTGAGAGGCATCTGGTTGAAAATGTTTATTGCCTGAACGCTGACAAGGTGAAAAGAATAGAAGAAACGACCAAAAAATGGGCTATCATTTTCATTTTTGGTACCTACTGGTTTACCTGTTCACTCAGAACGGATAATGTTGGCGTTACTTTTATCTTTACACTCGGATGTCCCCAATGAGGGGACATCGTGAGTCTAGCAAATTTTGTTAGCGGTTATGTAGAATACGCGAACGAAGGTTATTAACATTGCAATTATAACTAACGAAAACTAAATAAAACATGAGGTATATATTTTTTTAACAAAGAGAGTATTTCATTAAATTACAGCGCGCTTGAGATTCTTTGCTCGTCGCACAGAAATAATTGAATGGGCTCCAAGACGCGATATCCTATCGTTATTTTTGCATGATCGCATTCACGTGGAATTCAACGGCATGTCCATGGTAATCCTATATGAATCACGTTGAAGGTGATCTAATATTAGAAGCAACGGAAGAGAATCGTGCGTTCAGTCACAGTATACAGATAGAATCAATTGTTTCCAAGAGCTGAATGAAAAAAGTATTGCACCTGTGAGCAGTTTCCAACGATACAATGCAATACAATAATAATCATACTAATATTATGACCAAAAAGTATTACACAATACACAGAAACAGCTTGCAACATTTTACCGTTGAAAACATATCACTTATTCCGTAAACTCGACACGATTTAATTTTTTTAACTCTAAAATGATCTAATCAACGTGAATAAATTTGAAAGAAATTAATTAATTGATTAGTAAGAATTACTTTCATATATGGTTCTTTCAAAATTTGTCTTGCTCGACAATATCAATAAAAATGAAATTGAGTAGACTCAATTAACTCTAAAATGATCTGTTCAACGTGAATAAATTTGAAAGAAATTAATTAATTGATTAGTAAGAATTACTTTCATATATGCTTCTTTCAAAATTTGTCTTGCTCGACAATATCAATAAAAATGAAACTGAGTAGACTACCTTGAGCTAATATTACGTAAATAAAGATAAGATTAATTATTCGTCGATAACAAAAATGAAAATTTCAAGTTTCTAATAGTTTCGAAAATTGTACAACTGAACATAATTTTCGTTATATAATTACGTCAGAAGTTGGTAACGAGTTAATTCCATTTTCTTTCGAAATAGTAAATTACTATCGAGTTGAATTTTATCACAGTTGATGAATTAGTAATCGTTAATAATTTCTTGGTTATTTAGTCCTGAATTAGACTAGAAAAAAGATTTCATTAGAACGATGAGTGGTACTCGTGGGAAAAGAATAGCAGTGAACGTATAAACTACGAAAGATTAATAACCTGGGCTGCGGCTGCCATCTAATTACTGCAATAAGTGGTTTAGATCCATCTCAGAGTAAAAGTATACAACTGAAACGATTATATTTCCACATTTCTCTCTTTATCGTCATGAAGAGCGTGATTAATTAAAACTCTGCTAATGGAAAGAATTTATTATTCGCTATTAGTTTTACTGCACAGTTCTCAATAACTTACTTTGTTAGTTAATTTGTTCGCTCCAAATACTTCGTTAATTTTATTTAGTTTCCTTATAGATGCATACAATTTTTCTTTTCTATTCATCTCAGTATTTTATTCAGATTTATAATTTTTCTATACAATGAAGAGAACCCAAAATCTCAGGTTAAAAACATCATAATTGATCTTGCTCGGATACAAGGATTATAAATAATAATTATTATAACTAGCTATCAATCCAATCTTGATGAAAATTTTATCAATAACTACGTAAGTAGATGAGTAAGTGTTATGGTTTCGAAGAAAAAAAAAGAATGTTGCCTATAGAGAAGGCATTCAAGATGGAGGATCGCCGCCTAGCGGACAGCAACCAAACATACTCGCACGTTCCAACTGTCGCATACTCGAAGGAATCTTCAGTCGCTACGTGACCGATACGGTTTCATGTATGAAAAGCAAAATACTACTACAATCGTAGCAAAACAGTATTTCTACAATAATGCATTGGAAATATCAGTCTATTGGTTTTGCAATAGGTCACGATCGCCTTTAATTTCGATATGATAAATCTATTGTGAACTATGTAGTAACACAAAAAAAAAAAAAAATAAGAGAAAATTTATTTAATCTACAAGAACAAACATGGCGATATAGACATAGTTTATTAAATATAACACGGGCAAAATAATAATTGTCAATTATCGCGAGAAAAATTACAGTAAATATTATTAATGATAAGTTTCGCGAGAAGCATATTTTTAATAGAGAAACGCTATAAATACCCCAGGACAGTAGTATTTCCACGATGCGTTGTGCGGTAAGTATTTTAAATTTTATAGGGAATCAGAACGACAGCGACATCTATTAGAAGCTTGTAGAGAATACACTTATGACGGACCTCTTCGTTTCTGTTCAACAATAAAAACTTATTATATTAGTTCCTCAGTGACTTTTAAAATGCTATTTAAACAGTGTAGAGCGTGACACTTTTTGTATCCGTACTAGAGCAACCGTGATTTTTGTATCTGGTACGGTACAATAAATAATGAACGACGATATTATCAGATTTCACTCTACAAAAGTCAATGAATCGAAAGATTACACCCAAAAGAGAAAGTAGACCGCGGTATTCACAATGCTCTCTACCTCGAGTACCTCCCTGTAGAGACAGAATGAGATTTCACAAGATGCATTCCGAGACGTAATACCGCTCACTTTAGTGTCTTTAATGTCGTATACGTCACGGTGACATCGACGTAACGCGTCCTTTGAAGAAATATTTACACAGAGTGTTTCGCGAGATGTGAACATGATTTCGGAGATAAACCGAGTACATAAAAATAATAAAAACTTTCTCTAAACGTTTATTCTCTTTATTCTTGTTCCTGTAAAACTGGGGGCTGGGACTTGACGCTACTCGTGCGATCGAATAAATGCACACATTTGAAGTCAATAAATGGCAGAAAGCTATGAATTTATGAATTATACGTGTAGACGTGTAACTAAAACGAGTCCTTTTTTTTTTATATTGGTGTCTCGTAAACGTTTAAACCGGATACACGTGACACGTGACCTCGTGCAACGCATTGTACCTGCTTTAAGCGATAGCTCTAACTAAATCGTAATGATCACTTGACGTATAACGAGCTTGCCCGAATAAATATTCATTCCGACAAAATTATTGTTCTGAATTTCTGTTCGTGTTCCATAATTCGAATAAGATTCTGCTGAGAGTCTGATAAGAGTCCTTGTTCTCAAATTACAGCCATTTTGACATTGTAATTATTTCATTGTTTCTAAATCAAACTCGGATAATTGTATATAATTAGGAAGTTAATGTGCCTACATAAATAATGTCAACTATTTTCCCGAAAATATTTATATTCGGTGGAGAAACAACATTGGGAATTCAAATATTGAGCGTCTTTCATGTTTGTTTCTTTAAAGAACAAAATGTTCTTCATTTTTGTTTAGATATGTTATAGTCACACATTATCGTGGATCAAGGTATTCGTTGCAAAAGAATAATTCTGTTGCATACGGACAATAATCGAGTGGATGACCGTCATAATATTTCGCAGGAAAGTCTCGACCTACGAAATGTGAAATCCTTTCGTACTCTTTTTAACCTAACGTACACGCGGCACGTGGCACACGGCCCATGTTCGGAATTGTTGCCAAACAAGTAATCGACGGGCTAGTCCAAGAACTCGGATATTTTTGGATCTATTGTTGAGTCCGTTCTTGATACGAGACGATCAAGATCGTCTCAATTTCGTATCTTTGTTTGTGCAAACGAAAATAACTGTTTTTTAATGTGTACAATTTCCATTGAATTATACAGGGTGTCCCAAAAGTCGGTGAGTAGCCGGAAATGGGGGATAGCTGAGACGATTCTGAACAACAATTTTCTTTGCAAAAATGTCGGATGGGGCTTCGTTAAGGAGATATTAAGAGAAAACCTCGACCAATCAGAGCGCGCGTAGACCGTTCGAGCGGCCGCGGTAGCGAAGGCTACGGCGCTAGGCGGCAGCGTCAATGTCCTTCGATGCACGTCGAGTCACTTGTTCGCGTACAAGCGCGGCCGCCAGCGCATACCCTTCGCTACCGCGGCCGCTCCAACGGTCTACGCGCGCTCTGATTGGTCGAGGTTTTCTCTTAATATCTCCTTAACGAAGCCCCATCCGACATTTTTGCAAAGGAAATTGTTGTTCAGAATCGTCTCAGCTACCCCCCATTTCCGGCTCCTCCCCGACTTTTGGGACACCCTGTATATTGACCATTTAGATCCAATACTTTTGGCCACCTTTCTAGCGGTGGCATAATTTCACGTTCATAAAAGATATAAGTGATTTTTGACATCATCACTTAAAGTGTAGGATTTTATTGGATAATGGCAATGGGAATTCGGTCGTGTGATGAATGACCTATACCGACCAAATTCATATCTCTGTGAATTATTTTCATTTTTCATTATCTCCTAAACTATGCGACCAAATAACATGCTGTAAAAAGCAAATTTTATCTTGATGAAACTTTCCAGACGATAAAATGATTCTTCTGTATAAAGATCGATATATTATGCCTAATAAGTCTTAAAACGTAGCGAGAACTTCTTAATTCTTACCTGCTGATCTCTGCTTCGCTCGTATGTGTATCACGCTTTCGGTTTCCGAATCAGAACCGACCCAGTACGCAGTACCGCTGCGATCAGAGTCGCTCTGCAGATCGTCCGACGTTTCCTCCAAAATAGTCTCTAAAAAGTCGACTTGCTGCACTAGCACCGTGTCTGCAAAACAATAAACCGCGTGCATCAGTAACAGAATCGATAAGAGTTGATAAGTGCCAGAGGGTGCGAACGGTTGCGAATAAGGTGAATACGAAGGAGATTAGGATCGAGCGCGAAACATCGAGTACGAAATCTTTTCTTTCTGTTTTTATAACAGTATTACATTTTTGTTAATAATAATACATGTAAATATACAACTACTAACAATTCTAACATAATGAAACATTTAATAATGATTTGATTTGATTTTTCGCGATTATTCTAACCTTTATAATTCGCTTGTTTCCAGTATGCACAGAGTGTAAAACGATTAATGGTCAGCACTTTCAGGGGTTACTGTACACATCTGGATCGATGGATATTTGTAAAAGAAATTTGTAAAGGAATCTCCAAAATCCATTATAAGCTCGAAACTTAAGGTCAAAGTTTTTTTTCATTTCAAGAAAAGTTATAATCGCGATAAAAACATCCCTAATCGTTGGATTTCGTTGACAAAAGCGTCTGTATGACAGAGACACGGGGAACGACGAAGAAGAAATAGAAAAAGAAGCAACGGTTAAAATTCTTAACGAGGATCAACGAACGATGACTCATTCTGGATACGTTCGCGGAACATCGCCGACTCCTATGTCCAATACGACCACAATTATTACATTTCAAGATAACGTAACCGTTTTCAACATGTACATAACTCTATAGGCCGTCCACCTCGCTTGCGGTATTGTAATTTATTCGCGGATCTTGTTTCTTCCGAATGATTGTAATTGAAAAGATTAACCGTTTGGGTCACAGTGGTAAGTAAGTATAACCGTCCCGCCCAGTTTTTAATTACTTTAACAAATTATCTAACGTTGAATGGTAGTCTTTTTGATTTTCGTAGTATTTGGAGGTAGCGATATTGAATAATATTAATGTATACGATGTCTAAAGTAGATATAACGATAGCAATAATTTAAGGGCGTATGTTTTGTCTCTCCGACAGAAAGTGAAACCAAGTTTGGTCATTTTGAATGTAAGTAATTTTTCATTTTGCAGCGACTACGAAGAGATTATTTAACATAATTTAATACGAAGGAAATAGAAATTATTTCATACTTTTTAGTGCAATTTTAATACTTTTTTCGAAGTCGGTTGTATGTTTTATTCCAAAATTATTTTATTTCATCCTTTTTAGTGGCAATCTATAACCAACAGGTTTCATGGAATAGCAATAGTTATGAGCAATATACAGGGTGCCCTAAAAATGTTGTAAAATGTTGTAAAATGTTGTAAAATGTACTTGGAACGGTATTTTCATACCAAACCACAAGACATTTGGAAAGATCACATTATGGAATTTCAAAAGTGGTGGAGGAATACACATAAAATATTGTGTATGTATTACTTACTAATAAAACGAAAGAAACTTTTGGGATAATTTAATATATTCGGATCTCGTTTTTAAAGTGCTATACTGCAAATGAACGCGCATAAAAAGCAGTCGGAACAATATTGTCTTTTAAACGAACATTTTCATGAAACTCTATAGTCGTAAACATGGTTTAACTTGTAAATTGAAAAGAACTTGTGTGATTTTCCACCTGCTGCATTATAATTTCACAAGTTACTGACGAAGGCGAGATTCCCCTCCTTATAATTTCCGTTGACCCGTTGGCAGCAGACTCAAACTTGTTAGAAGTTAATATGGATGATGCATAATCATTCCGACCAAAATATATAGAGCAAAAAATTGGAACGATTCAGTTATTGTTCTCCGAGGTGGGCATCAAACGCTTACACAAAATTCTTCACTTCGATCATAATACTGCATTTACGCTAAACAGACAAACGCCATACATTTCGCTCGTATAGTTTATATGGTTAAAACGAGGACCAATCATGGGTTTGGTAGACATGTACAATTATCTTAACACAGAATTAGCTGGTGAGTAGCGACTAACGTCTGTGTTTGTGTGTCTATAAAACAAATACTGGAGGTGACAAGTTTGTAAAATAACAAAACAGTGTACATAAAAAGAATTTTACAAAGAGGACTTTATCAAACACGAGTGATACGGAATCCATCCGATTTATACAATTTAGACAAAATATTTATTTGTATCAATACGCCTACTACGCTAATAGGTGTATTTTGTTATTAAAAGATAATATTCTAAAGCTCCCCTTGGGCTTTGGAGAATCTTTTGTAACGCGTTCCGTTAAAATATGTTTTTCTAACTTTCTCAGGACGATCTTTCTTTGTTATTATCAAATTTTTGTTCTTTTTATTATTGACAGTAATTATAATTATAAAAAAACTAAACGTCCACGTATGTAACCCAGGGCGTGAAGAGGTTAATAAAAAGAAAAGAATCCGTTTGTTTTAACTTATTGTTGTAGAATATTTGGTTGCAGTGGGCTACTAAGGGATTTCTCTAAGACACGAAAGTATTTCTTACACTTCAGTTTAAATTAACAACGTATTGTATTTAAACATACGGCCTAGAACTACCATTTCTTGTAAATAAATTCGTTTACATAAAATATTAGTTAATCCATAAACGCAAAGAGGGCACTCGTAGGTCTTTGATGACGTTCATTCTGAATTTGAAACTGTAAATATGCGGTCTTTAGAGTTACTTCCTCTGTTAATACATTGAAGGTTCAAAGTGTAATTTTAGAATCTGATTTTAATAAATTTTCAATCTTTAAGCAAAGGAAATAGCAATGTTCACAGGGGATCACGAATTAAAGCAGACACGACTCATTGTTTTCGATTTTATTCAAATCAGGCACAGTTTAGAATCATAAATATTTTATTAGGTCAAAGAAAATTTGATTCCAACCTTTCGATTAACTCATACAACAGAAATTAGTGTCTCTTTGATCACACGTATTCACTATGCGAAATCCTCAATTGTATGTTAAATACTTTACAGACAAACGATCAAATGATTGGATACTCGTTAGTTCGCCTATACCGGTTATTCTCATTACATTTGCGTACTTGTACTTCGTTCTACGATACGGCCCAAGATTCATGGAAAACAGAAAGCCGTACTCGTTGCTCACGTTTATTAGATTTTACAACATATTTCAAATCGTGGCGAATGCTGCGATAGTATACCATATATTAGACGCTGGATGGTACCAGGACTGTTTTATTTATTGCGTCGTACCTGATTATTCGACCAATCGTAACCCAATGAAGGTACAAGAAAGTAATTCCGAAGTATTGGGTTGTCTGGAAAGTCCGTGCCGATTTTTGATAACTGGTACACGTCTGTTTATATTGGAATGGTTGAAAACAATTAACATGGGTGCATCCCTTAAAAGGTGGAAAGGTCGTGGAACAAAATGGTATTTATATAATTCAATAAATATATATCAAAACTCAAATATGCCTTTGAATTTTTCTTAAAAATTGCCACGAACTTTCTGGACAACCCAATACGTATGCAGATAATTTACGCTTTCAAGTGACGAAATCGGAGCTGTCATTTTACTAAAAAGCAATTTCGTAGGAATTTTTGTTCTAAGCCTGAATTCCTCGTGAGGAACGGCAGATGAAAAATATGAAATATAATAACACGAATGAGATATATATATATATATATATATATAAAATAATTAGAAATTCGATTGTGATAAAATGGTAATAAATTCCGAATAGGGGATCCCGCCCCTATGACCTTTACCCTGACATATATCGTCAATTGCACCTTCCTAAGTAACTTTTTCTAATAACTTAACCGTCGCTCACTGCTTATTAAAAAGTTATCAAGGAGTGGGGTCCCCTATACGGCATTTTTACCCAATTAAATGTAGTCCGATTAAGGTCGCATTTGGATTCATTTTGAAAAATTTGCCCAACCTAATTGTAATACTATTACGAAGGTACAAATCTTAAAGCAAACAATATTAATTTTCATTAAGAAAAATTACCTCGCTAAAAAGACATAAACAGTGATGGAAGAAAGGTGAGTTAATTCCCTCCAGGTTAAGACATCGTCACCTGAAAGCGAGGATTACTGTAAACACAACACCGACACGCTAGTTACTTCTTCAAGATAATAAGGAATATCGTTACAGCTGGTTAGAATATCATGGTACTTGCTGTCTTTGAAAATAATTGATTACATCGAGACTGGCGTATTCGTACTCAGGAAGAAATGGAATCAAATTTCATTCCTGCACTTGTACCATCATGTTTCCACAGTAGTGTATATGTGGTTCATATTGAAATATTTTACTTGCAACATGTCGATGACGATTGGTCTTCTCAATAGTGCAGTGCATGTAATAATGTACAGTTATTACTATTTGGCTTCTATTGGACCACACGTTCAAAAAAAGCTTCAAGTATTGAAACAATCCATTACCATCATACAATTGGTAAGTAACCAACGGAAATATTTTGCTAAATTAAAGTACTATCAAATTTTTTCATTTCGATGCTTTGGAAAAACTTCGAAAACATAAGTAGGTGCGTGTAACGCGTATTTATTGCAAATACAATACATCCTGTCTAAGGAACGCCCAGCTTCCCTGTCTAAGAGACGCGTGATTCACCTCGCTACTACTGGAAATTGCTCGATCCTCGAGCTTGAAAGAGAGATTAGGGAGATTGTATTTCCTTTCGAACAATAATCTAACGGTTAGATCCTAACCCAAACCAGCGTCTTTTAGATACGACTCGTTACAAAAAATTTTATTCTGAATAAAGAACAAAAATTTTAGATTTATTCATAAGATTAAAAAGAGAAATTAATGCTTAGAGAGCTAAATGCTAGAATTTCTATTCTATATTTAGAATAAAATGTACTTAACTCTGCCTGTACCTCCATTTTGCATATTTCTTCCTGTTTTTATGTTATAATCATCATTTGTTTCAGACACAATTCGTCATAATGATATTATACATGTCACAGGCTTTCATACCTGGCTGTCCGGGCATGAGAATACCATCCGCAGTAATGTTGATTAACATATTTATAAATTTCTACTTATTTTATGATTTTTATCAAAAAACTTACACCGTAAAGAAACAGAAGGCCTAAAATAAAGTTCCCAGCGAATGACGGAGAATCTACTGTAATTATGAATACACTCGCGTGGAGACATGGATAATGGCAAGTAGAATCTCGGTTATTGCAACCACAATTATTGCATACTGTTAAACAACTGAAGAAGGTGGTCGCTAAGCTAACAACTTTTGGAAACATCACGCACATAACGTAGCTACTATAAGTAAATAGAAATAGGTAGACTGTGTATGTGAGGCTGCTAGTCGTTGGTTTGGTTATCATGAGAACGCTGGAGCCGGGACCGTAACAAAGTTGGATTGGAGCACATGAAGGTAGTACTTCTGATACTATCATTTATTTTGATTGTTCTGCACAACTATTTCACGCCATCATTTTACTTTAATGATCAGTGATTAAAAAAAAAAAAAAAACAATTTCAATTACCAAATACTGTCGGTACTTTGGGAAAAGTTTTAATCTTTCGTTCCCCTGAAAAGACTTTATATGCAACATACAGTCGAATCGCTGAAGAGGGAAAATCTATGATTTCATTTAATTGTTTCTCTACCAGAAATTCTTTACCTTAATTTCTCTGTAAGATTTATTTAGAGTATTTTATAGAATTTTGTTGAAATATAGATGATACATCAGAAATATTATAAAGCTACTAGAGGTAACCATGATTCTTCATAGACTAAATCATGAAATGCGTGGATAGAATTGAAACAAAGTTTAAGTATTTTTAATATTAGTCAAAATTTGATCAAAGAGTCCCGTAACCGGCTCGTAAATCAATTTTGCTGAAATTGTTCTCTATTATAATACTAAAGCAGCATAGCAAATTAATATATGACTTATGTCATCAAAGAATCTTGTAACCCGCAAGTAAATAAAATTTTATAGACATTTTTCCCCCCCGCAATACCTTCCTTATAAATTATACAATAAAATCACAGGGCAAAATAAGATATTACTTGTATTAAAATATGTATCGTATACAAGGTGTCTACAGGTAAGTTAAAGTCAATTTAAAATAAAAGTAAATTTAAAAAATAAAATTCAGAATAAATGCGCACCAATATAGTGTCACGATGGCCGTAAACAATTATTACAAGTTCAAACTACAAGGTTACGTTCAAAAAATTGAAGGTGACCTTGACATCTTCTTTACAAAGCATATTGGCACTAAAGCAGTTCATACATCGTATGTACTCTTCGAAACGACGCAACTTTTTTATGAAGGAATTTTGTGTACACCAATTGATTGAAAAGTTATTTAAGGTAAAAGAAGTTATTTCTCCTGTATAATAACAAAAACGATTTCTTCAATAGAATACCGTATTCAATATTGTAACAATTTGTTATTAGTCATTTGAAATAACAGATGGTTGAAATAGGTGTTTGAAATAAGATAATATTTAGAATATAGAGCAAAATTTCGATGAAGCGAAGCATTAAAATGGTCTGTATCTCGTGGCCGAGAGTATCATTATTGCAACCATGCGCCACTAGGGCGCAGCTCTTACCGTGGTTGCATACTGCAAACTATACGTAAATAATGTATTTACCTAGACTCGTAACTTTCCACGAGTGGAAAACGATAACGCTATCGAATTAAACGTTACGTATCTTCGACGTCCGCAAAATGAACGTAACCCGTTCACCAACGATATAGAACAGAACCAACCGATATTGTGAATTGCATATCGTAACTACATGACAATCGAAGACGTAAGAACATTCACTGCGACTCTTCAGCTCTTGAATCACTTTACTACAACACCCGGTACGTACGTGTGGGCTTTCTTTCTGTCGACCAGCGAGGGTAAAATCAAAGTTCCTTCTTCCATATTAGAGCAAACGATTATTGTTTCCTTCTCGCCGGAGCGCCACGATTAGACTTAATGACGATTGTGAGAACAAATCGTCCCGGAGGAACGCAATTTGTCTTTCACAAGTGCGAAGGCACGCACTGCTATGCAACATCATGGAAGAGGGAACCAGCTGTTGCAGTCGCATGTTGCCAGTCCGTTCCGCAACCAACGGACGTGAATAATCCATCGACTTGCACGAAAATAATCGCTGATCTACCTCGTTTACGTGCAGGCCTGTGTATTGCCCTAATCGCGTCAATACGACGCAATCGAACAAACGTAAGAGACGAAAGAAACCGATGACGACGGGTAACACGCGCATGTTATTTAATACGGTGTCAGCATTTCATTGGAGAATGAAATCTATATAATTAAAGACCAATCAATGGTCGAAATAATAATATCGGGTTGTCCGGAAAGTTTATGCCTATTTTTAAGAAAAATTCAAAGGCATATTTGAATTTTTATGTATATTTATGGAATTATACATGTACCATTTTGTGCCACAACCATTCCACCTGTTACGGAATGTACACATATTATTTGTTTTCAGCCATTCCGATATATTCAGACCTGTACCGCCTACTAAAAATCGGCATGGACTTTCCAGACAGCCCAATATCTAAATATTATTTAAAACTCTCGATTTTTATCCAAGTCTTCCTATTCGAGCTGCCACTCCAATAAATGTCTCGACGAATATTTCCCAACGAGCTCTTTGAACAGTTTCACAATAACAAGACCCCACAGGTATGCATAATAGAAAATAAACAAGATGAATAATACTAATAATTCAGAGAGTCAGGCGCGAGAGGAGTGCTGGGTCTCTGATTTATGTAATATCATTATTTCTTGAATGTTTAGTCTGTAAGCACGTTGGTAGCTTTAATATATTGGATACCTTACCGAGCGATGAAGTCATTTGAGTGGGTGATACTCTGGATGTTCCGAGAAGTGCACGTTTTTATGCTTAGTTGCAAACATGGTTCTACAGGGTGTGCATAAATAATAATAAAACTTTGAACACGCTGTTGACATTCAGCGACGGAAACAATAACAGGGAGTAATTATACAGAAAATGGTGCTCGACACTGATTTCGATGATTTTTATATGTTATCAAATTCATTATTCGGAAAAACTTTTTCCTATACACATATACAGTGACTCACGAAAGTATTTGAACAATTACTACGAAATACTTTATTAATTACAATAAGTATATTATGTAACACTTATTGAAATATTATTAACACTGTAAAGAAGTATGACTCTGCAGATCATATAGATAAAGATTCAATCGAAATATGTAAACAACAGATTCGAATTATTTCTTGTAAACATAGAAACTGCTGAAGCCACAAAAGTATATGAACAGGTAACTTTTAAATCTTTAATATTTAGTAGGTTCACTTTTGGTACGAATAACATCCTGTAAGCGAGTATGCATACTGTTTACTAACTTTGCTGTAATACTTGTCGAAATAGAATTTCAAACTTCGAGTAACTTTTCTTCTAAACTCGCCGTGGAAGTTATATTAAATCGTTGTGATTCTTTCGCCATGAAACAATTATTTCGTTTTGATTGAAACTTTATCTAAATATATGATCCGCAGAGTCACACCTCCTTACAGTGTTAATAATATTTCCGTGAGTGTTATATAATACAACTATTATAATTAGCAAAGTGTTTCGTAGTAAGTCTTCAAATAGTTTCGTGAGTCACTGTACGAATTCTGTACGTAAATTTCACGAGCAACCTAGACATTTTTCCGTGGTTAATTGAAATCGTACGACCAGGCACCCTACCTGTTCTCAGTTGTAATTTTTCATTAACTCTCGCGGTCTCGCCCACGGTTATAGAAAGTAGTCCAGATTAAGTCTAGCATTTAACAAGCGATTTGTATGCAAACCCGCGCCATTTTCAGCCCGATGGAAATTACGGTTATGATAGAAGTCTCCGTCGATATCTAGAGCGTAGATGAGCAAAAGGACTCCCATGGACTTTGACGCAGACAGTTCTGTTTCCAACTTCTCTGTGTAAAAAGTGAAATGTTTTCGGCGCGTATCAATTGTCGAAATGTCCATGCGAGGTAAACGGTTCACTCGAGCCAAAGACCGTCACAGTCCACGGTTGAAACGGTCGTTGCATTGTTAACTAGGAAGAGAAAGTGAAACGGTAAACAGTACGAACCATTAGTCCGTAGATCCTCGTGGTCGGATTGAAAATGGGAATGGTGTTGGAGCTGGAAGCCGTAGGCCGGAAGCCACGGATTCGGTCCGTTCACCAGGTCCATGTCGACGATTTCGCCCAAGGTCGGTGGCTCCCCCTCGTCATCAGCGGCGGCAACCTCGAGCATCGACGACGATTCCAACGTCGTCGACGTCGTCGTCGTTGTCGTCGCGTTCGTCTCCTGCGTGCTCATCTCCAGCTGTTGGCGACAAAGACGTAGCCAGCTGCGTACGGTGACGCCCAATCATTAACCGCTTCGCCGAGCTGTGAACGTACCTTCCGCTTTTCCTCGGGGACCCTCATACTCTATATCCTTTTTCTTCGTGTCTGTACATCACTCCCTGCTTCCATTTCTGCAAGAAAGAGTACAACCTTCGGTTATCCATAGGCGTATACACCTGGTGCATTCGAACAGTGAATAGGAGAAATAAGGAATACCACGTGTTAGGTTTATCGCGAAAGTTACGAGAGAAATTCATCGGGGAGAAAATGAGCCTCGCAGAAATGTCCAACTTAGCAACTTCGTGAAACAAGGAATAGTTAAATTTAATAGGACCGCGAAGGGTTCAAATCGATGGTTTTAGAATCGAACAGTTCAAATTGATGGACATTATTTCCGTATTCTTCGAATTTTGCTACGGTCGAGAAACTTCTAAAGAGGAAAATTAATTAGTGCACCTTTGTCGAGTTGGTGTGTTGAAGTAAAATAAAATCAAAATAGTACGCCTCGTAGAACTTCCAGCAAAAATCGTCACGCGGTCAAAGAGCTAAATACATAAATATATATGTATTGTTTTTTTTTTTAACTTTACGTTGATATAATTCTCTAACAAAATTTATACTTCTCCGACCCTACCAAATAGAAGACTGCAAAGTAGCAATAACAAGATTGAGAATTGGCCACACGAATCTAACTCATTGTTATAAAGTAACAAAATCACAGCCACCATCGTGCACCTTTTGTGACGAGCGTCCCGCAGTTAAGCATTTAATAGAAGAATGTCAAGGAATACAGCACGATCGCGTAGAGTTCAAACTTTTAAATAATATCAAAACGATTCTCAATAATAGAAACGAATTTCTCAAACTAGTAGATTTATTAACTAAATATGGAATAATGAATAAATTGTAATTGAATTGAAAATATTAACGCGGTCGCTAATAATCCTGTAGTTGATGTGACCTTAAATAAAGTAATAATAATAAAAAAAAAAAAAAAAAAAAAAAATATTTATACTTGGAAAAAAGGAATTAAAGATAAATATTTCGGTAAAGAATTAAACAGAAATATTTTGTCTTTCAGTATTTGACGGTTCAGTCACGTAGCGACTACTGGTTGCCGTAATCGAAATCGTCAGAAGAGACTTTTGTTGGAAGTTTACGAACCGTGGCACCTCGGGAACTTCCAATGGCTCCCGCGAATTCCAAACGCAGGGATTGGTTACCAGGTAATATTATGGAAAATTAACTAGCTGTTTTATAGGTGAAATTTAATGCCAGTTAAAGGGATCGTTACGCGGGGAATAAGGCAGCGATCCCAGTCGTCGGCGTCGGCGTCGTGTGTAACTCCGGGTGACGCAATTTTCCGCTTTACAATAAATAACGTAACCGTGCACCGGTTCGGAGTTATTTACTCTCCATTACCACGCTTAATGGACCAACTGTTGCGAAGAAACGTGGTGTACACCCGTTACCTGACACGACTGCATACGTTTACTACGATCTTGCCCATTACATCTTTGATATAAACAGAATTGCTACAAAAATTGTTTAATTCGTAACTCGATATACAATCATTTACAAGCAGTTATTATAGCAGTAATAATAATTTATGGCATTGCTCTGTAACTTCTGTTTACTTTGTTTTTTTGTTTTTTTTAGATAATAATGTCTCGTATTACGTTTACTGGTATCCTATTATATCGTCTATTTATATTCCGCAGTAAATTTAAATAATCTTTAAATGGAACTACAAACGTAACTATCATTACTACGATCACCTTCGAAACGAAATACTATAATTTTCCGTAGAAAAAGTTAATTTGTTGAAAGTCGGGCGCCAGGTTCACATAGCCTTCGGAGTCACTGTATTCGTTTAAACAGTAATCCACCCATAAAACAATTTGTGTCGTGTATCTCGGCATCCATTGAACTCAATTTCCCCAGGATTTAATTAAAAAACATTACTGGCTTGAAGGAAACGCGTAGGTGTAACGATCAGCCCCAGGGGATCAAGAGGTACCGTATAGATGAGAGATACAGAGGTTTTAACGTTCTTCTCCTATACAGGGTGTACGGTAACATGCAAAATCAACTATAGCAGTGGATTGGGGTCACGAAGACAATGAATTCAGTTCATATAAATATACATATATATCCTATTTGACCTTGTTTTTAAGTCATGTTCATTCTTGTATTCCGATAATTCTACATTTGATCGATTAAACATCAATGTCCTTAGAGGTATTCAATGTAAATACGACGATTAAATGTTTTACTTTTATAAGCAGTATAGCAATAAGATTTATACTGTTCCTTAGTAACCTCCAGTCTTCGAATAGCGTTGCGAAACATTAATTGCAAAGTGATTTAGTACAATGTACGAACATGTATGTATAGTCAAACATATTTACATAAATTTTTAAAAACGTAAGGTATTTCTTTGAGACTCGCTTCTTACATTAAAGTAAATGGAAATATACTCTGCCAGTTTATCTAACGGAATATCTCGTTCAATTACAGAGTTATCAGACATCGTATTATAAAATTTATTTTAAAACGTATTTATGAAACTGTTGATGAAGTATTTCTGCATTCATACAAAACCAATGTTCAAAATTATTAATTGATGAATATATAATAACTACATAAAAAGTATAATTAATTTATAAATCTACGTCATTTTCTTCAATTTACTTGAATAAATAAACACACTCTGATAATCGTACAAAAAATGAAAAACTACCGTTTTTAAAAAGTTTACACATCGTGAATTGCGGATTAATTTCCTTTTGATAAGAAACTTCTGGTTATGTCGTCATTAAACTTTAAATAAAAATAGGGTAAATCGCTTGTTCTTATATCAGTTTCATTAATTTGTAGTCGATTTTCATATTTTACAAACATAACTTGGTTGAGCTGTAAATACAACTTTAAACGACAGTCACGATAAGATGCTTTCACATCGACGATGTAATCGTGTTTATGCGCTCGTGTTGTGATTACAAGGGCGCCTTCACTAAATGAAACTATTTGTACCGGGACAAACTTATCGTTCCCTCAAAGGCAAACGCAACAAACCAGATGACGTGTTTCTCAACAAACGCGTATATCGACGATAAGTTAGGCAACAGTCACGAAGTCACGACTCAAAACAATTGTGCACAACTACAAATATCAATATCGAATGTATAACCACTTCACCTAGGTGCAAGTGATCGAGATTTATTCGTTTGCTCCGATTAGGTCATGCACCATATTATGTCCTAGTTATCCGACGGAAAAATTTCGTGTATTTATATTTCGATAACGAAGCCTCAAATTGCAAAATAGAAAAGAAAATAGGAAAATTTCTCATCCGCACTGACACGAGGGAATCGATCTTGAAAAAATATCCCACGTTAATATAAACACACTCTACATATCGAATGTTAAACACAAACTCTCATTAATTCTTCGATCGAGTCATTAACGACAAATTAATGCAAATGTATGTAACGGGATAATTAGCGATAATTCTATGGAACTTGTTTTCCTTTATAGGAGATCAACAGGTCAGCCTTATGCCAATTTCGTGGGGTAATCGATTGCATGAGTTATTGAAAGACGTCCCATTAAACACATGTTGCTTGTGATTTATGCGTGACGGTGCACTGTACCGTTTCAGACGAGTTGACAAACGATCCTAGACGAGCGAATTCTTCACAGATAAATAGATTATACAGGTCCTATTGTTGTTCACTAGGCCTGCTTGTTTCTTACATTTAATTCAGCTAAGGTTCTTTTCATTCCGAGAGGACGTGTAGAGAATTTGATAATCGTTCTTTGCATTTTTTAATCGAGGGCATTCGAAAGTATCGAAAACATGGTAACAATCGTACAGAGAAGGAACGACTTTTGACCGATAGAAATGTTTGGCCTCGATTACGTTCAATAACGGCTGAGAGAGTAAAATGTGTTGACGAAGTCAACAGAAGCAAGGAGATGCAGTCTTCGAGACTCGCGGCGATCAAGGTTAGCCGAAGCGTAAGCAGCGGTCAAACGAGACGCACAATCTAGAACGCTGATATCGAGACCGGGCACAAGACTTTAATGTTTTCTAAATTGATGTTCTTCCTGCGTCATCACGCTTATGCAATGTACGCGTGCTTTTGATCATATGATTCATTGTTCTAAATCGATGTAGATCTCGTGATATGGATACAACTTTCATTGTACTTCCTGGTTTCATATGTTACAATGAATTAAGAATCTGTGTCTAGTATGTATGTATGTATGTATGTATGTATGTATGTATGCATGTATGTACGTATCGTTTCTTAGGTCATTTCAGATATGCAGCGCGTGCTACATAAAATCGTACACTATACCAGTGGTTTCCTACACACAGTAACTTCCTACAGCCATGTGACGCGAAAATATTTATAATAAGTTAATGATAAGTTAATGTTCCCATTATCATAAAATTAAGATTAAATTATATAACGGGGCTATTCCGAGTCTCTTCTTTTAACGACGTTAGATTGGATGAAAAGTATTATAAAGAAGGAAATTATTTCCTCGCATAATTTGTACCTTTTAATATGTCGTTACGAAGAGTTCTCAACTAATTTATTAAAAAATACGCATTTGATATTCTTCTTGCATAACGTATTATCGAAGTTGATATTTTTTTTAAACTGTCAATACACGATAATTCTATCAAGTGTAACAGAATATCTCATTCAATTACAGAGTTATCAGACATCGTATTATGAAATTTATTTTAAAACGAATTTATGTAAATGTTAACGAAGTATTTCTGCATTCGTACGAAACCAATGTTCAAAATTATTAATTGATGGATATATAATAACTACATAAAAAGTATAATTAATTTATAAATCTACGTCATTTTCTTTAATTCACTCGATTGAATGAACACATTCACTACTGATAACCGTACAAAAAATGAAAACTAACATTTTTAAAAAGTTTACATCGTGGACATTGAAACACACTGACCTAACGGATCATTCACTGTACGTATACGTTTAAATTGAACGCACTGTAGAGATGTTGGAAGTATTGAATGCAAAGAACAATTTTCAATGAATGTTTAAATTTCAACTATCTCTAGTTTAAACGCCATTCTAATGTCATTTGCCAGATGTCCTTGGCCGGGTACTTCAAAGAAAAGGATACGAACTATTTCATTCCGCTTGCCACGTCACACGGGTTTTTTTTACATTACTAAGCGACTGACGCATTACCACTTAATTAAATACAATGTACAGGAGACGAGCATCTCTAAGTACATGAGCAGAGATATGGACAAATTTTTCATGTAGATTATTTTTTCAATAAAAACTACAACGTAAATTGTAAAATGAAATTTTTCACCTTAAAATCAAATTATGATAGACCTCAATTTTTGAATTTTACCACTTTCAATGCCATTAAAGAATATAATATTAGTTAAGTGACATATTTATTTGAAATTTACAAAATTTTACTCAACATAGTTTTCCTTAGTACAGAATTGGATTTCATGTCGAAGAAACAAAATTTTATTTCGATAATTGTTCAATGGTACAAAGCACGATTGCTAAACGTTTTTCATAGTCCTCGTCGATTAAAATTTTACCAATCTCTGTCGATAGAAAAACGAAACGGTAATGATAATGTTATATATTCAACAGATCGTTGAAATTCCGAAACATTAAACGAGCGCTTTGTCACAAATGTCTCTTTTCTTCGACAAGACCGCACAAGAAATCAAGCGTAACCATAACCGGAATTTACAATATACGGTTTTACAACGCAACCTTTAACATGTTCCTATAGGCACTTTCACTTTACATAACTTTGCATAACGCGCTTTGTGTGGCAGATATGTTTAATAATCAGTTAATGCTCGTACGATTAATGTTTATTAGAAAAAAAAAAAAAAAAAAAAAAATAATAATAATCGCTACGTCCATTATTGTGATAGAGATATCTGATTTGCGTCATAAATAAATTAAAGACAATGCTGCACTGGAAATTTTTTTATTTCACGTATCGCGCGAGTCTTTATTTTGCAACTATCGCGCAGAGATAAAATGGAAGTCTCAGAAATAATGAAAGTTTTAGGTTTACACGCTCGTTGAAAAACAATTTCATATCATATCGAGCACGTATTTTCATTATTTAACGTTTATAACCTTGCTACTGATTCTTATTTATCATCAAATTGTTGGATGTTAAAAACGTAATTCCGGCGGACTATAAATACGTACTGAGAGATTTTAAAAAAATAAAATATTATTTTAAAGTCGTACCTATCGTGCGTCAGTAAATGGTTAAAATTAAATATAGAACGAATTGTCAACGAAATACTACGAACGCTCTACTATAGTAGATATTCGCATAAGATAAAATTACTATTATTAAAATACAGGGTTTCTATTTAGTGTATACAAAAATAAATTCTCCGTACTTTGATATTAATAATTCTATATATTTTTAATGGACTTGTTGAGCCTAGAGCAAGGAAGAAGGATTCAAATTTATTATATCAACAGCTACTTTTAAAATTTATGTATTTCAAATTTAGTGACACCTTTATTGTCCCGATCACACGTCCTAAAGTAGACAAATTAGGTATCACTTGGAGGGCCTTAATTCAAAGTTGCGCTTTTTCGGGGTTCCTGTCTCCCCTCTTCAATTTCCGGTTCGGAAGTTACCAATCATTCTGTGTTACAACTGTGTCAATGTGAATATATATGTACGAATACGAAATTGAATACTTCTTAGAAACATTTAACAGAGATATGGTTACTAGTTAATTTGTAATACATATTTAAGAAAAAGAAAAATCAATCAATTCATATAACATAATAAGTGGAGCGTAAGATAGGAATTCTCAAGTTTAGAATGGTATCCAGAAAACTTCTAAGAAGTGTTTACTAAGAAAAACAAAAAATTGGTTGTATGACTCTTTATTAAATTGATTTTTTCTACTTTTTTTCCAACAAGTAGGTAACATTTTTTCGTTTTAAATGTAAATTAATTTCTTCCAAAATCCTTCGATCAGGGACCCGCTAGTCTAACATATTCTCCAAATCTACCTTTATCTTTGTTTTCGGGTATACCAGTTTGGAGAAATCTTGCTCACCCCAAACAAAATGGCCACCCACGCATAAACCTTTTTTTAAAACAAAAATTTCTTTATAGTTCTTTAAAATATATTTTGTTATATATTTACATTTCATTCATAAAAATTATTATCTAATACCTTACAAAACGCACACACACACACACACACACACACACACACACACACACACACACACATACACACACAAGAAAGTCTGCCAACTCAATAAACTTGAACGCCAATACATTTATCAAACTCAGCCAACGATTTATCGAGCTATCGCAATAAAAACAACGCGAGACGTCACAATAGAAGAAAGAAGGGTAATGAACGACAATATGTCCTCACCCTCCTTCGCCGCCATACCCAATGAAATAAAACGTCTCGACTCTACGCACACTTCCCCGTGACAGCTGTCAAAAGTGTCGAAGCGTCCGCACGCAAACGCTGGCGCGAGGGAGACCGTTCGAAGAAGAAAGATAGAAAGGACGAAGGAAAACGAGGACAGAAAGGGAGAAGACCGCAGAGCGGTGGACGCTCGCGTAAACACGCAAGCTGTTACGAACGAGAAGGAAGTAACGTATTAAGGATGTATCCTGAATTAGGTCTAAAAAAAGCGGTTTTTTGTGAATTTTTTTTAGGATGGAAACCAATCATTAATTCTATCGAACTTTTTATCCTATTTTCATACATATTTAAGTAGCCTGTAGAAATTTTTTCAACAGGAAATATTCAAATTGAATCGACTGTGACGCACATTTGTAGAGCACCTCACAATTCAAACCTCCTATCGGTGGGAAAGGTGCGGGTCGTAATTTTGGTTTGACATAAAAAAACCAAAAGAAATTTTCATTTTCATACATGTTTCTTCTATGTGAAGTAAACAAATTCATACAAAAAAATTTTCTAAAAAAATTCACGAAAAATCGCTTCTCTTAGACCTAATTCAGGATACCCCCTTAAGGTTCAAAGATGTGTTCGATTCGTATACAAAACTCGTGATTCCATACAAGGGTTCGTATTTCATTTGGAATCGAAACGACGAGAATCCATTCGCCGAAAAGTTCAGTCACACGAAAGCGATTCGAGAAATCGTTTATCTGGATTACCAACTGTACCACGCGAAAACTTTGAAATCGTTAGATTAGGTCGGTGTATCTATATTTAGCACATTACAAAAGAGAGAGTTAAGTAGAAATTAAGTGGTAAATTGATCAGTGTTTACAGGGACGGCTCAAGGTACAGGCTTCAAGGAGTACAGAGACCTCTGGCAGTTCGAGGGTCTCCAGAGACTAAGTAAATAGTTATTTCATCTGTGACAGACGAATCATAGTAAACACTTGGAAGTTTTCTATTCTTCGAAGAATTCGATTTATATGTTTGTAATAAACATACTATTTATGATAAAAGGGAATACTGCATTGTATACATATAGCGGGTGTAACGTTTAATGTATCTTTATTGTGACGAAACCGTTGTTACAAACTGGTTATTGCACGAAACAGTGGGTGTAGAATGTATTCGTGCGCCGATCAATTTCCCAAAAATCATTTGTGCGAAATTGTAGTTAAGAAACTAACCAATGATATTTTACGTATTCTTGGAAATCTCTAAGATAGATATAGTCCAAACAACATTTACTAGTTAATATAATTCGTGAAATTAACAAAAAGATGCGAAAAGTGGGTGAAAGTATAGAAGCAATGAGTATTTGTACGATTCTTATGACGAACCATTTACAGTAGAGTTCGTAATGTAAATGCATTAGTTTATTAATGTGTTATTAATTAGAAAACATCAAATTTCCAGTTAAGTACTTTTAAAGAAGGCTCTAATAGAAGAATAGAAGATCTCACTTCTTATTAACTTCTAACTAATAATTTAGTTAATTTAATGCTTAGAGGAGTTGCAATAATTATAATGTTGCAATTTTACAAAGTTTTTTTTGGAAATTGATCGGTGTACGAATACTTTCCACACCCACTGTACGTGCTTATTCAATGGTGTGAATTTGATAAATAATAAATTTTGCACAACGTGCAATGATGCACCATATGAGTAACGGTACACCATATGAATACAACTGACAAATACTGCTGTCTAGCAACGATGCTTAACGAGGGATGAATAATCTCGTGTGCTTTCCAATCATTTTTAACCGCAAAAAGAAAAAAGTGATCCGCGTGAAATTTAAAAAGAATGAAAAACCCGAAATCCGCATTTTACCGGAAGCTGGACTATTCGATCAAACAGGTGCCGTTTTGCTGGTTAACTGTGAAACATTTCATTCTATAGTTGAAATTCTGATTGGGGATCGCACAATTATCCATGTTTGGATGAATCACGAATCAATTCTCAACTGAGACATGTAAACTCGCTGTCGGTAATCGTACATACACGAATTCTTGGCGAAATTATTCAAGGAAGATTAATTTTGGAGAAAATCGATTCGAGATCAAAGATCCCTAGGATAGAAAGGGAAGATCGTGAAGAGGTGGGACGCTCGGCGTAAACACACCAAGAGTCTTACGAGCTGTTACAAGCGAGAAGGAAGTAACGTATTAAGGATAAAGAAAGAGAGAAAGAAGGTTAGAACCGCACAGTGAATTCCGAGTGCGACGGCGCGGCGGTGAATACCTGTCAGCGCGCATTCCACGGTCCCAACAGCGTGCTCTCGTCTCTCGTCGTTTATAACCACTAGACTTTTGCCTTCCTAACGGCAAGGACTGGCCACCGGTAGCACTCACAAACACACGACGCACACACCGTGTTTAACTCCGTGGAGACGGTATTTAAACGCACACACTATAGCCCTTCGCGGTCCGAAAAAAAACGTATCACTTGCCACGGTAGCCGGGTGAATCGCGTGCTGCTCGCGGCGCGAACATGGCGCACACAATTCTCACGCGTTCACCATGGAGAAATGCACAAACTCGGTGAACAATGAAAGGGGACCCTCCGCGATGGAAGGAGGAACCACGGTGAAACGTTTGCGAACAATGGAACGTGACTTAAGGACACCGGAGAGCGCGAGAGCCAGCTTTACACCGCAGGGTAAATACTAGAACAAAACTCGCCGCTTTCGCTCGCGATGCGCGGCTCTGCTGGCCAATCCCCACCCGCGCAACGTCGCCACGTGGTACACCGCTCGGCCAATCAGAGACTGGTTACGCGGGGCCCCCCCCGGACGTGTTCGTAAAGCCGGCTTCGCTACCGATCAGTTCCTTCTCTTCTTCTGTTGTACCTTGTACCGATTTAACGTTCGAGACGTGCGTCGCGAACATACGCGAGATACGAGAGACTCGTCCGCGTCCTTTTGCCGATATTCTTAATCATTCTTAACCCTGCGTTGCTTGCTCGTCGCGGTGACCAGTGACGGTACTCGCTTTGTTCAGTTTTTTGCGTTCCTACAGCGATGGATCGCGATGAAATCTAGGCCTGGGACTTATCATTTGTATTCAACAAGTGATCGAATAATATTAGAATTGCTAAATATTCGAACCCTTTACACCCGACGACATTTTTCATGTCTATATACAGTGAGTTACAAAATTATTAACACACACACAGCTGGCAATCCCATGAAATTGTTATTATTTTAAAGTGTACAATTTTACACTTCCTAAAAGAATACGTATAGAGATTAGGAATTGAAATAAAATCTAACAAATTAAATTTGTAAATCTCGATGGCAACTGCTAGCCGACTCTCAACTGCAAAGGGTTAATAATTTATATACCTTTTATTTTTTAATGGTATAACTTTTAAAATGTATGAATATTTAAAGTTTTAATAATTTTTCATACATCTGTTATGAAATATAATATATAAATATATACAAAATATAAAATACAAAATATAAATTTATAAATATATTTATAAAATATACGAATTTCCCAACTTTTATCATTTTAATATACACTCTCTATAAACTGATACGTGGAAATTTACAACTTTTTATGCTCTTTGTATGTACCTTTTATCAACTTACACGAGGACCTCGTTCATATTATTAGGTTGTCCCGAAAGTCTCTTTCGCGAGTTGCACTCGATTATTTTATGTGGTCGGGTTTATATAAATAAACAATCTAATTTCATAGATATTCATGTTGTAACAGTAATGGAGCAAAATGAATCATGTATTACTTATTAATAAAGCGAAAGAAACTTTTGGGACAACCTAATACATCTGTACATACAAATTTCTTTATATTACATTCTGTTATTTTTGAATACAGAGATATGTACTCGATACGGACAAAAATATAGTTCGAAATGAAGTAAACATAAATAAATTGTTCTGTATATTCTAAAACCTACGTTGCATAATTTCTATGATAATATCCAACAAGTAAATACCTCTGCCGTTATTATTCTGTAATTTCACTATGTTAACAAATTTCTGTAATTTCCAAAACGTCAATATTTTAACATAATGTATATCTAGCAAAATGAATCGAATCGATAACGATGCGACTTTTTATCGCAACCCGTGTAATTGATGAGTACAATGTGCAAGAAAAGGATTGCGATAGGATCATATGGAAGATCGATTAAAATATCTTTGCGCCCAGGGTATGGACACCAAAGAAACTTTGTAAATTCGCCTGCAGGGACACGGATAACTTACCAATCCCCTGACCCACACCGCGTCGGTACGTAACGCAAGATTCACCGCGACGCCGACGATACCGGATACCATACATCCATAAAATTTCCTCGTGATCGGTCAATTCTCTCACGCCTGACCCTCGCTCGTGTACTTAGCTGTTTATCTTGCGCAGATACAAAGAGACGCGCAAACGTATTACACTTCCGCTGGCGTCTGCGTCGATTTCCTTTGAGAAATGCCATTTCCTTGTCAGAACGTTTCTCTTGTTATCGCCAACTTGCCTTTTGTGATTTGTAGTTCCTTGCGTATGTGTGTAACCGTAACCGTCGGTGCGTTGCTTACATAGGTTCGCAGACGCGACGGCCGTGCGGGCAGTTGGAAACATAATCGTCGAGTGCTGTCTCGATGCTCAACCAATACAATCAACTTAATTGATACGATGATTTGTTCAAAGAGTAAAGTCAGACGTCTCGAAAGGGGGATTACTCATACCCGTTTTACAATTACGTTTCTCAACAGAAAAAAACGTAGCGAAGAAACGAATGTAACCGTTGCTGTACTTGGATATGAATCGATGATGGATAGATACTATTTCCAGTATGCTTAACCCTTTGACTGCGGAGGGCGTATATATACGCCCTTGAGAAATAAGCTCCGAGAAATGTTTGTATTGGTTAAATTAATTTAAAAAAAATATATCAGCTTATAGGGGATGATGGGATGAAAATTTTTTATATTTACAGTTTATTCATAGGACGCTTAGTTTCGAAAATAAAAATTGAAAGGTTAAAAGTTCGTTGCAAAAATTGAATTTCAGAAAAATGGTCTTCTAAGATTTTTAATTCTTATCTCTGAAACTAAACGTCCTATGAACAAACTGTAAATATATAAAAGTTTCGTCTTATCATCGTCTATGAGATAATATTTTTTAATATATCGACAAACAAGTAATTGTCGACTGACCATGCTTTCATTTTCTCCATTTCAAATGTAATCGAATTCATAGAGAAATGCTTCTCTACGTTCTTAATTTCTATTTTAGAGACTAAACGTCTTATGAATGAACTGTAATTATAAAAAAGTTTCGTCTTATAATTTCCTATAAACTGATATTTTATTTAAATTCAGACCTCTACGTCACTTGGAATTTCTAGCAAAGATCGTCCCGCAGTCAAAGGGTTATTTCATTTTAGCCCATTATCGCACGTACTGCGATAAAATAAACACGATATGTATGAAGTAGTTAAACAGTAAAAGATAGGACACTGAAGTGCAAAGAGGAGGGGTGGGGATAGTGTGACTTTATACGAATCTAACCTCAATTTTTGTATTTTTAAATAAACATTTCGAATAACGAATATAAGATGAACGGCATATTATCCGTCACTCGTTAAATAAAAAGGCTGCACTTTACTTTGGCGGACTTACAGTATTTAAGTTTCTTTCACATAATCCTGTAGATTTTGTCGAAAAAAATCCGGAAATGCCAGTTTTAAGGCGAGGAATCGTGGCATTTTACCGAATTTGACTGACACTTTCGACGCCATATTGTCTTGGAGTTATACCCTGTCGGTAAGACAGATTCTCGGTGGTGGCGGACTACATTATGTACGACTTTTATATTGTTATGACTATTTTTGAAAACTGTCATATTTCGAATTAATAGAGTTGATCTGGGTCTATTTTCTCGGGGAGGAGGAGAGGGGGGAGGGGCGCCCTAGAGTACAAATTCAACTTTTGAATTGCCTGACAAATACGGTAAAAAGGTTCATCTTTAACTGCTCATAACTTCCGAGCCAGTGGATTCCTCGCCTGAAAACTAGCATTTTTGGATTCCACTCGCCGAACTCTACAAGCTTATGTAAAAAAAAAAACTTGAAAATGTTAGGTCCGCCAAAGTAAAGCTTAACCAATAAAAATACAATTATATATTCCAGCATAAAGAAATAAAAGTGTTTCATTTATTCCCTGTTAATCAGACAACAAGTTCTCTTCGTCACTGCTCTCTGTTCTCTACCTCGAAACGACACAACGACAGATCGATAGGGTACGTGGATCCCAGTCACCCAGTCACCGAAACGAACGACAGGCGTCTCTGAATTCGACTCGGAGAGATCGCAGAATCTGTCCCGCGTTTGGTTTGTGTGTGCCGACCACGACGAGTGTGTAACGGGCCACTGGCCGGTGGAATTAGTTTCTTTTTTTGAGGCAGGTCACTGACACCGAACGGCGATGGATTGACGCCGCGGGGTCAAGTTCTACGCTTCTATGTACGCTGTCGACAGAGCTTCGCGTTTAAAGGTATCGTTCGAGCATTCCTTGCGGGATATCGCGTTACTTGCGGCACCACGATCAATCGTCCATCGTACGTACTCTCAGTCTTTGGCTATGCAACGAACGACTCGAGTCGTAAATCGTTGCGAAAGGCGCGAATTGCATTGCTCGTGGTTTCTAGCTATATATGCTCACTTATTGTTAGACAGAAGGCAAAAGTGTTTCGAGCACGTGTACGTGTAGACGCAACTGTACTCGATGCCTGCTCCTCGGATGTCAGTCAAATGTGTCATAAGATGCACAACGATATAACCTCTCTCGAGCACGTGTTTTGCATCCTCGGAAGTTTTTTCACGTCGTATGTGCGGGAGTGGGTAACATTTTATCCCTAGAATGAATGACGAGTAAAGACGCCTTATTGGGATTTATTATCCGTAACGTTTCTGTGATCGAGTAGGTGTCCAGAAGTTTTATTCGTTCATCCTGAAATACAATTACATTTTATAATTCAGAGTAGAAATTTCTATTGCACGAATTACGGATTACAAGGTGTTCACCTTTCATTTTTTTGTTCGATATTAGTATTTAGATGAGAAAGTTAGCCATTTCTGGTAGCGTACATGTATGTATAATGCTCGAGGGGGTTAAACTTTACTTTGGCGGACCTAACATTTTCAAGTTTTTTTTTACATAAGCTTGTAGAGTTCGGCGAGTGGAATCAAAAAATGCTAGTTTTCAGGCGAGGTATCCACTGGCTCAGAAGTTATGAGCAGTTAAAGGTGAACCTTTTTACCGTATTTGTCAGGCAATTCAAAAGTTGAATTTGTACTCTAGGGCGCCCCCTCCCCCCTCTCCTCCTCCCCGAGAAAATAGGCCCAGATCAACTCTATTAATTCGAAATATGGCAGTTTTCAAAAATAGTCATAACAATATAAAAGTCGTACATAATGTAGTCCGTCACAACCGAGAATCTGTTTTACCGACAGGGTATAACTCCAAGACAATATGGCGTCGAAAGTGTCAGTCAAATCCGGTACGATGCCACTTTTAACTGCTTATAACCTCTGAACTAATGGATTCCTCGCCTTAAAACTAGAATTTCCGGATTTTTCTCGATAAAATCTACAGGATTATAAAGAGAAAAGAAACTTGAAAATTTTAGGTCCGCCAAAGTAAAGAGCAGCCAAAATATTTATTATCTCCTCATGTAATTGTAGGTTAGCTCGAAGAATGCGTATAATTTTGAAAAAAACGACTGTCATGTTATGCGTTAGTTTGTAACATATGTATTATATTAATGTACATCTTTTTTTGCTTTAATCACTTTACGCAATAATGTGTAATTTTAAATTGGATGTTATTATATTCATTTCATGTGCACGTAATTTTTTCTGTCCTGATGAATGTTCTCGCCTTGTACATATCGAATGTTTTGATAAATCATTTCATTTACCGATTTTATTTACTAAATATTATTTCACAGCCCAACATGTCCCTGGTTGTCACGCAGTACATACTGGCAATTAAGTATAAAAATGAAACACATTGTTTGGTCGACATCGATATTTAATATAATTTTTCCGCTAAATAATTATTTGAATAATTGTTGATCCTCTGTATTTCATCAAACTCAATAAAGAGTGAATTAAATCATTAAAAATACACGTGTGTTCGAAACATGTGATACATTTAAATTAAAAAAAATTAAGATGTCTGATAATTTTATATAATCAGAACATAAAAAGCAATTCCACCATTATTAATAGATGAATGAATACGAATCGTGTTCCAAGACAAGTACAACATTATCTGAAACATAATATTCTATTATACATAGAACAATGATGGAACTAATTTCTAAAGAAAGCATAGTTATCACGCAAAATATCGTATACAATGCGAACGCCCACGCGTGGAAAATCGTTTGTTGTCGATGGCCCATCTAATCCATAATAATTATCTGTAAACGTGAAAGTATCGTATATCGAAACGAATTACGTATACACGACGCAGTCATTCTCGAAGTAACTGTTTCTCACAGCTTCTTTTATAGAGCCAGAGCGGAAAACGTGTAAATGAATTCCTAACGTAAGAACGCCAATAACGGTGCACGCTACCAAGCAGGAGGTTGGGTGTAATTAATTATCGCAGCACCTTGTGAGGAACGCCTATATAATTTTTTCTTCTCAACGTTGCGCGATATCCTCGATATCCGTGGCGGATGATTCTGCATCTTGAGAAATGAGAGGCAGTGGAGCGTTTATGCCTCTGTTTTTATCCTGTTGTATACTACAATCATGGCGTAATATATGTGTTAGTCGTGACATGCATATGCATGATACAGTCATACGTACATAGGAACGGTGATAATTTTTTTAATCGATAGAAAAATAGAATTTAAAAAGTGAAATTAATTTTTGTATATTTTTGTACGCATTCATCGCTCGAGTTAATTATCTTTGCAACTGAAAGAGTTGGGTAAATTGAAGAAGGTTGTTTGAAGGTTGCAGACCTTGAACTGTAAGTTTTCTTCAGTATACTTCATGCATTGCACTTCAGTATTACGTTTGTACTATTTTCCTTAACTTTCAAGTGACCATTGCGGTATTCTATTATATATATTTCCTTGAAGAAGATGTAATGTAAAAGTTGGAATATTATAGAGGTTATCCTTGTAAAGATCTCAATATATGCAAATAAATTAAAATTTTTATTCACACTTATTGGGTTAACATAAAAAGTAGTAAAATACATTAAGAATGAATATACAGAACGGAGGAACTATGTTTATTATAAATTCGAATGTGTTTGAATATTGTATACATGTCGTCTCATCAAATTTAAATTTGTAGCAGTATTTTATTGAATTAACTCAGTTTCTACTGCAGTAAAACTGTTCCACCAGAATCGTTATGTCTCTTTCAATGCCAGGTGTACAGTTATCTTTGATCTTCGTTGCGTTTGTTCGTCAAATACCGAGGAAGTAGAACAAAATATTCAGCGTTGCCAATTTCATAGCAAACACGATTCGCACTTCAGATATTGGATTTCCCCTGGATTCTGAAAACACAGAATAGGCAATAATTTTGTTAGATGACTCGGACAAATGTTAATAATCTTTAGTCTAGTATTTACTATATACTTAGGACCTCGATCGTTGCAAAAGAGTAAGTAAGCTTGCCTCGAATATTGTAGTCGGTTTTATGCATTTATAATATAAATTAATATAATAAATACAAGCTAAACATAAACAAAAGGTATACGCAACTAAAATAACAATATTCTTATATTAATTGTAGAATATATTCAACATGCACTGTACGTGTGTTTTTGTATGTCTTTTATATTACTGTACGTCACAAATGCGTAATATTCGCAGTCTATTTAATTAATATTCACGCAAATGTGACGTATTTCGATGAATTTTGACACGATGCGTATATCTTCATTTGAAATAAAAAATCGGATATATTTCTGTACCAATTGTATTTTGTCGTTAAATTTTATCGGAAACACTCGCAGAGTCGTGCGGACCATTGCGATGAATACCCTGTATGTGGAACATTTCGATGCCATACAATTTTTGAAACAACTAAACAGAAATATTGTACATTTCTGTTTGTTGGTCTCTGTTTCGGATCGTATCTCAGGAGTGGTTTATTATAAAGTCATCAAAGTAGACAAAGTTATCTCTACGTATGTTGAATGCCACTAAAGTCTCGTAGCAATTAAAAACAAAGTTATGTTTATTCCTATCCGACCGAAATTGTAGAGACTTCGACCTAAATTGCGATTAGGAATAAAGACCCTCTGGACGCTACGGTTCCTCTTGTTGACGTTTCCTCACCGTAATCGTAATACTGCAGCGGTTCTGTGGAATCCTCGTCACAGTCGTCCATAACGGATCTGATCTTTACAGCCTTGTTCCTCTCGGGTTCATCGACCTCCTGCTTACCCTCGAACGTAATCGCCGCGTAATCGGCCCGCGTCTCTCGAGCCCGTTTCTTGGGGCTCCAACGACCCTTCGCGGTGCCTCTGAGGCCGATCTACAAAAGTCGTGAAAAAGATTCTCGTCCAAGTACTAACCGTAATCGTAATAGTGCGGCGGCTCTGTATCGTTCACCGTCTCCTCGTCGTCCTCTTCCTCGTCATCCTCGGCTTTGTCACCGGTTTCCTCCCCGACGCCGCTCTCCTCTATGTCCCCCTCTTCGTCCTCCTCGTCTTGGTCGTCGTAATCGGCGTCGTCGTCCAATCGACCACGCACCCGATCCACGGAACGATATCCCCAGCTGTTCTTGAACCTCTTACTCGACAGTCTATTTTCGCGTGAACCGTACTGGTCGTCGTTTACGCGAGCCTGCAGGAGGCGACGTCGCGACGCTCGAGCAGATTCCATGTACTCTGTAAACCCAGGGACAACTTGTATGCATACGGTGTACGAAAACGTTACACTAACCGTCATTAATTTCGATACACCGCCACACCTGTAACTGTAAAATGTAAAAGATATTTAATCGATGCATACAGTAACATTCGGTCTTAGATCAAATATTAATAACAATTATGGTTCAGAATAAGTATCCATTCGAGACATTAATCGAGAGAAAGTCAATATTTTAATATCTATCGATTGGACCAACTAAATATTAATTTCTGACAATACTTAAATTAATTATTAACAATGTTTGTTTAAACGATGATCGAGAATATGATTCTTCTGTAATATTAACGTTTCGCCATACAAAAGCATCAAATTAATTTAGTTAAAAGAAAAGTGAATGCGGTGAATCCTGATTAAGAGACGCATAATTATCACCGTCACTTTTTGGAGCTGCTCGCTTTGTACCAATTAAAAAATGAAATGATTGAAAAATGAACGAATTCGAACTGGAAAAGCGACGAGAACAATTTCAAGATTTCACAGTAGTAAATGCAACGAGTGAGCATACAGTGTATACCTTCGAACCATTCATGATCGTCGTCCTGGTAAGCGTCGCTGGAGTCCACGCTGTTGCCGGAATCGGGCTCTCCTTCGAAAGTGAATGTTTCAGCGTTGCTTAAGATACACCCTTCGGTAGAAATGCAAGGTTCCGTGAACCTGACCGCTCTTAGAACTCCATCGACGGAGTTTACCTCGCAGTAACATTTACCGAAGCCGTCGGGGCAGCTGGAAAAGTTCACACCTTTCGTCATAGACCGGGAATTCGATGGAAGCTCACCAGAGATGTTCTGGCTCACCAAAATGATCCTGGCCCGATACAGTCTGTGGCTGGTTTCTCTCTGTGAAATATAACGACTGGTGGTAATACATGGCGGTCAAAGGAAAGGTTTCTAAGTTCGAAGAATCTACAGGGTGTCCCAAAACTCGGGGAGGAGCCGGAAATGGGGGATAGCTGAGACGATTCTGAACAACAATTTCCTTTGCAAAAATGTCGGATGGGGCTTCGTTAAGGAGATATTAAGCGAAAACCCCGACCAATCGGAGCGCGCGTAGACCGTTGGAGCGGCCGCGGTAGCGAAGGCTACGCGCTAGGTCGATGCTTCGATGCACGTCGAGTCACTTGTTCGCGCGCAAGCGCGGCCGCCAGCGCGTAGCCTACGCTACCGCGGCCGCTCCAACGGTCTACGCGCGCTCTGATTGGTCGGGGTTTTCGCTTAATATCTCCTTAACGAAGCCCCATCCGACATTTTTGCAAAGGAAATTGTTGTTCAGAATCGTCTCAGCTACCCCCCATTTCCGGCTCCTCCCCGAGTTTTGGGACACCCTGTATAGTACTCGATAATGTGGATTAAAAATGCTCAGGCATATAAATCGAAAAATTAATCTTGCCAGAGTTTGCAACAGTTTCAGATCCCCTCTAGACATCAAACCTTAAACCTTTTTTTAATACCATGTATAATATTCAAAACAAATAACATTATCGCTCGTGAATGAAAGATATTCGGACAAATTTTACAATATATTTTTTGAAATTTTTAAACAATTTGGAAACCACTGATTTAGTTCTTCATGGTTGTAGGAGCTTTTGTTCCTTTTTGCAGTTGTACCCACAATTCTGAAACGCCCTGTAGATTTGTATCTTTCATCGGAGCGAAGTCTTCATTTTTATTTACGTTACTTGATCTTGGCACGAGGCAACGGCTACCATGAATCCTCTGCCGCAAGTAGTATTACATTTTGGGGACGACCATCGTGACCATAAAGAATTCATTTCCGCTGGAATTGATGTCCAAGGACCAATTTCTTCGCAGAACTGAAATTTCAACGAATTTCAATTTTACGGGATTGTAATGTCAAATCAATAAATTGTGATATGACATCTAATGAACAGAGCGGAATAGAACAGAACGAATATTTAAAAAAAAAACAAATAACATGCTTTTGTCATATTAACTTTACACTTCTTGAAATTCAGGTACATTTTATAATGAAAATAAAATTATAAAAAGAAGTTTTCTAAATAAATAAATGCTCGTATAATCACTTCTAAAACATCTTGGACATTTGTATCTTAATCTTAAATGTTATGATTGCTATAAACTTCTTGATATAGAAAAGCATTTTCCATTGAATATAGTACTATTTTTCTAAAATATTCGTGACTTTCACGTCCTGGTTCTTCATGGTACATACCAGACGAGACTTTCAAATGTAAACCATGTCCTTTGGTACAATTTGCAGCAAGCTTCTTCAAGGAATAAATGCCACACTGATACTGACCAACATTACAAACGAGCCTCGAGTTTTGAGGGAAAATAATTTAAAGGACACAGCTTACACTCGGAAGCCTCGCTTAAAATTTATCTATTTCTTAAACGGCACTGGCAAAATTCTACAAGCGTATTCGACACGTAATAAAATTACTGGTTGTCTCTGATGGCAATTCGAAGCGCATTGGGGCGTGTGTATTCCTCTAATTGTAGTCGCAGAACATTGTGCGACACCGCAGACTCCACGTGGTGAACACAAAGACTCGGGTAAAGGATTTAAAAAACACGTGGGGAATCCTGAAAGAGGTCTCATTTAAAATTTCCAGCTACCTCGGTGTCGCATGCGACAGCTCATGCTTATGTATGGGCCCAGTGTAATTGTTATTCGAAAATTATTCCACAACCTTTCGTTTTATATAGCCGATGGCCAGCAAGCAAAATAGAACAGTTGCAACTTTGAGCATTCTCGGCGAGCAATGTTACATCGCATAATCGTCTATGAACCCTTGCGCTCGTGTTTGAATATGGAGTAGCTTCGGCGAAAGTGCAATCAGCTTTCCTCTGGCTTGTCAGTTCAAACGAGCACAAGTCCCAAGAGTGAAGCGTCAGGCAAGGGCATATCCCGAGAAAGAACTCACCCGCGCCAGAATTGTCCAGAAATTCTGATTCTGAAGGTATGCTACGCAACTCGACGAACAACTGCAAATAACACCACGATATTGTGTTACGCGGACTTTTACATAATTACAATGTTTGTTTTCATATTTGACAAACTACAGTGTCTATGGGCACGAAAGTCATCTATCTGGAGCTCATATCGAAGAGACCTCTCAAAATGAATGTTTACAAAATTTATTGCTGAAATTTACACGCTAACAATACTCGAAAAATAAGTCTCCTTATCCAGAAAGCTTACTTAGTATAAACAATACAATGTGGTCTGAGAAGCCAGATGAAGTATGAAGGTCATTGTAGTGTATACATCAGAAATTACTTAGCCACCTAAGTATTTTGCCAACAGAATAAATATATAACATTTCTTCCTTACTGCACAAAATCCTTCTCCAATTTCTACGAAAGCACATTGCTGTAAATGCAACTGTCGCACCCAGCGTGTTATATCATAATTTGGCGAATCATCCAGATCTTTGGATACGAATAAAAATGGATCCCAATTGTTGCCATCGACAGTGAGTCCATCTACAACGCGATGAGCTTTTCCATGGGAAAGAATCAAGACTATTGATACAAATGTAAGTATAAACATAGCCTAAGTGTTGACATCATCAATTAATAATAGTACAAATTACAGAGATAAACAAACACACAATAACTTGAAGTTGTTTCGGTTTTAATTCGTCTCTCAGACTATACGATACGAAGTTTTTTATATAAACATGGTAAAGATTTTTCTTTGTTTTTGATGATAATGAACGTCACATTGAAATAAATTAAGACATATAGTAGTTAACATTTATTTAATACAGAATCCAGTCTTAGATGTGGGAATGTTGATGTTATAGGGAGTAATCGAAACATGTTTAAGCTATTTTAAGAAAAATATTAGTACTAAATATCACGCAGGATGTTTCTCAAGATATGTTTTTGTTACAACGTCTGATCGAAGATTCGCGAGTGTTACGAAGTCTGTACTTTTACAACCGACAACAGGACATCTGTAAACACACAATATAATTAAGATAATTTGTCAAAAGAGAAATCAAATTTCATAATAACAAGTTTACCTAGTATTTTTGTTCATCTTCAATAATTCTGTAATACTTTGTCGGTCATAGGTATGTCCACATACAGTATTTTTTACAGGATCTACAATTCTGTTTTTTGTAATTGGATCGATTACATTTATGTAACCACCTGTTAATTGTAACTCTGTACCATCGTCATCTCCTTCGGTATGTTCTTTATCTATAAATGGAGATAGAAAATATATTTATGTATATATACACACATTGTATTTATTATTAATTTTAAATAAAAGAAAACACTTTCATTTATTACCATAACTTTCAACTTACCTAATAGTGCTTCCACTTGTCTGTCAAATTCTAACAACTTTTCTTCATTCAACATATCAATATTTATCTCAGATATGGCTTTTTTATATTCCTACAATTGGAAAAATATATACTTACTGTTTTTGTCATGTCACTGAATCAGTATAATATGCAATAATTACCCGTATAATGGATTTAATATCGTCATTGTCATTGTATAAGCTCATTAATTGATTTTTCGTGCCTTCCACTGACTTCAACTTCTTATCCTGAATACAGTTCTTTTCCACAATTTCCCTGAGTTTGTTCAACATGCTCTTTTGTTCATTTCCTTCTGTAATAGTGATGATCAAATAAAGTTGTCCAAATCACAAAAGAGCGTTACAAATTTTAATGTTCCTGTATTGTTTAAAAATATGTACTTGTATAAATTTATCTTGTATAATCACTAGTAGCGTTTGCTGGACATCCGAATACAAAGGGTTATCCTTACAAATACTTACCATAATACGATATAATATTAGCAGCAGTTTTTGTATAACAGTCGTATAACTCTTCAACCGTTTGTTGGGATTGTGTCATTTTTAGAGTCAGGTTGCAAGCAGTTGATTGTGATTGCAAGTAAGCAAAACAAAGCTGTGATCAGCACAGCGATGACATTCAGAAGTAACAATAACAATTGAATTGTACGAAAAGAACACCTAGGCAGCGCCAATCATTCGCAATACACTTGTTCAACTATGACTGTCGGTAAAGTGAACACGGATGGCGCTACATGTCTATAGAACGGGAACGGCGGAACGCACCCATTGTATTTGCAAGATAGCGAATAAAGTTAGCATAAAATGGATGCTACTTGCAAATACATCAGTTTTTAACTAAATATTGATTTACAAAATGGGAAATCAGTTAGTCGGTATCGCGCCTAGTCAAATATTTCCAGTAGAACACTACTTGACGGACCATAGTGACTTATTATTCGATGTAAAGTAAGTAATTTGATCGAGTATCACGAAAGTGAAATTCTTTCCAACCTGTATTCTGTCAAAATTTTATTCTGCATATTTGATACAGCTTAGGAAGCACTAGATTTTTTAAAGTGGCTCGAGCCAGAAGCCAAGAGGGTCTCATAGTAGTTAAGGTTTTTGCTATACATGATCCAACTCTACCGTTATCCGCTTATAAAGACAAACTTGAAGAAATTAGATCCAAACTAGCATCTGCTGTGAATTGTCTACCTTTTCAGAGAATGATCGTAAGTTGTTTCATTCGGTATACATATCGTACGATACGCTATAAATTTACTTATATGTAAAAATAATTGTACATGTATATTAGCTCACAGAAAAATCAGGATCGATAATGAGGGAATACGTTAAATATTCCCTTTACGACAGAATTAGCACTAGGCCATTTTTAACAAGCATAGAAAAAAAGTGGATTACCTTTCAAGTTTTGTATGCATTACACCAAGCTCATAAGGTAAGATGATACTTAAAGCATGAAAGAAAAATTAGAGTACAGCTTCTTGTTTTGTTATAGTTTGGAGTCTGCCATGGCGATATAAAATTAGAAAATATTATGATAACCAGTTGGAATTGGATTTTACTAACAGACTTTGCAAGTTTTAAACCAACTTATTTGCCCGAAGATAACCCAGCAGATTTTTCATATTTCTTTGACACGTCGAGAAGAAGGTACAAAATATTTTTTATGTTAATGATTCTTATCAGTTATTGTACCTTCATGTCTTTAACTTGAACGTTTTAGAACATGTTATATCGCTCCCGAACGGTTTGTGAAAACATTATCATCAGAATTAAACAATACATTATTATTATCTGAACAAGAGCTAAAGACAGGTGACTTGCACCCAATGATGGACATTTTTTCTGCAGGCTGTGCTTTAACAGAATTATATAACGAAGGACATCCACCATTTGACTTTTCTCAACTATTAGGTGTGTGTAATATAAGTAAAAATTATGCATACCTCATGCATACGGTATTATTCAGAATAATTGTTTAGACATTAATTTATTATGATATATTAAGCATATAGGAACAATGAATATTCAGTAAGCAAGCATTTGGATACGATAGATGATTCAGGAATTCGTGAATTGCTTTCATCTATGCTAGAAAGGAACCCAGGAAATAGAAAGACTGCTGAAATTTACTTGGCTCAAGCTCGTGGAATAATATTTCCAGAATATTTTTATTCGTTTCTGCAATCTTATATGCTTATTTTCTCTGCTGCTCCTATTCTGTCGCCAGATGAGAAAATAAATAGACTAAAGAAGGATATTGGTAATATTATAAATATTCTAAAAACGGAAGAGAATGAAAAAATAAAAAGTAATGCAAAAGCTACAGAGACTGTGAAAAGTAACCAGTTTGAAA